TGTAATCGTGCAAAAAAAAAATCGAGATTTTTACAAATCTCGACGTTTTACAGCTCATTGATACGGAAAAACATAATTTTGCAATCTTGTCCGTATGTCTGTGTGTCTGTGTGTGTGTGTGTCTGTGTGTGTGTGTGTAAACACGATAACTTGAGTACCGTTACAGCTAGGTTGATGAAATTTCATATATAAGTATTTTATCAAAATCGTAGATCCGTATTAACTTTTGAGCGATTTCCGATAACCGGAAGTGGTACTTTTTCTACTTTGAATTTTTCAAAAGCCTATAACTTGAGTATTATTTCAGATAGATAAATGAAATTTCACAAGTAAGTAAAAGATCTAATTCTCTACCATCTGTTAAGTTTTGAGTAATTTCCGTTGACGGGAAGTACTAATTTACGCTATTTCCGATTTCTTAAAAACGCATCTAAATTTATAAAGTACTTATAATATTGCGCACCATTACGAACATCTTTATTCGGCGTTCGCTTGGTGTGCAATACTTTTTTCTATGAGATTCTATTTTATTTTAAAAAGTTTATGTATTTAAAATGGATTAAAAATCATAACTATATCCCAAGTTCCCATCCCTTGTTGTTTTATATAAGAATATTCGAGAAAGTTTAGGGGAGATCACTCCCGGTTTATTTTTTTCGGAATCTATTTTACCACTCTCAAAGCATTAATATATAATATTATATAGGCTGGAATTTATAACTAACCATAAACTGTTTTTCAAATAATTTTTAAGTATATTTAAATTTTTACAATTTTCATTGCATTATCTCAAACAATTACCAATGCTTTTTTTTTTAAGCGTCCCATTATTTTTGGGATCCAAAATTAAATAATACTAGAATACCCGTCATCCGTTGGATAACTGTGGGCTTCGGGGGTCATCCATCAAAAAACATCACGTCTGTCACTCAGAGGCATAGCGACCCTTCCCGGCGCCCGGGGACAAACTTTTCGATTTGAACCCCCCCAAGATTTCGATTTTCAACCCCCCCCCCCCTCAAACTTTTGATGTGCACCCCCCCCCCCCCACTCAAACTTTCCATTTGAACCCCCCTCAACCTTTCAATTTATTTTTCCAAACCATTTTGGCGCCCCAACATATGTCCCCCCCCCTTCCCCCCTCCCCCCCCCCCGCCTCCCCTCCCGCCCCCCTCCTCGCTACGCTACTGCAGTGTCACTTATCGTCACAAAAACAGACCCCACATTCAAAAATATGTTTTTTATCTTTTAAAAACACCGAAAACACCGATTTCGGACTATCCCTTCATATACTGACGTCACAGGTGACCTACTCAACTCTACTTCACCTGCCCAGTGTCCCGCCAAGTCTCAGACAACAAAAACTATTCCAGCCGAGCATGTCTCTGACCACACTATCCCTTAATTTGCTTAGGACAAAGAAACAGATGAACCCTACTTCACCTGCCCTGTGCCCCGCGAGGTCCTGATAGTCAACCTTATCATTCACATATAGGGCTTAAGAAAAAATAATTGAAAACGTAAAAAAAAAAAAAAGTTCTATTAATGTTTATGACACTGACTTTAAAATTTAGCCTTCATTCTCCAAAGCAAATTTTAAAATGCTTTTCTGGCATATCTAGCCCTGGCCACCTATACAATGTTTAAATATTGTGAACACCCGCCATTTTGCTCGTGGTAAACATGGCCTAAAAATGGTCGGCAGACATGCGTCCGGTCCGTACGCCATATTGTTGTTAGCAGCCGACCACGCCTCCAAGTTAGTGAGTAATCCTACTTTATCTAGATATAGAACGTAGATAACAAAAAAATCCCATGTATTCTCGAATTAGATGATCATTGAAGCTAAACAAAGATTTATATAAAATAATTAAGGCCCGAAATAGATTCTAGATGTAGAATTTACATTAATCTAGATCTAGAATTTACATTGAGTCTAGTGACCTAGATTCTAGATCTAGATCTAGATCTAGATCTAGAATCTAGGCCCTAGGCTAGATTCTCGACAGCTGATCTTTAGATCTAGAGAAATTTATCGTAAAACTAAATGAAAAAGACAGTTGAAAATTGATATAAGTGTTGGAACGTAATAAATACAGCAAACGGACGTATTGTTTAAGTTATAGCCAGCAGAAAATTAGCTTTGTAACGCGTTAAACTTTTGAATGGGCCACAAAGTCTATGATGGGGTCCGCCATTTTTATTGTACCAAAAATGTAAACACATCAAGGGACGTCACTATCCCCACAAAGTTTATTCAAAGTATTAACATTTTTAAAAAAATACGGTTAATTTAACTATGAATAAATCAATAAATTAATTAACGTCTTTAAATAAATTTGTGATCAACAGTCTGTCTGCATTAAAAAATTATTCTCTACCTGCATACTATTTTACAGCTTTCCAGATAGAGTCGAACATATCACAATAGTCGATCAGGCAAACAAATAAATATTCAAACATGTAAACAAAGTTGAGTTTTAGTAGTATATAGATGGTAGATGGGATATAAAAATAAACGCATGTCATCGGTATTGACTAGAAGTGTGATATAATAAAGCTGCTATGTTTATACTTTCAAACAACCTACAGAGGTAGTCAATTGGTAAAATATATTGTTTTAACAAGGTTACTTAATCAACATAAAAATAAATTAGTTGCAATGATTATGTAATGAAATTTAAAGAAGGATATTGTGTTTTTCAATCATGTCTTATTTACATTTAATTAATTTAGTTATTCTTGTGAAAGTTATTTCCCTTGAATAAAGTTTTGGTATTTGGATTTCCAAATGAGAGATAATTCATTGCTTAAATCAACATTTATTTCAAATTACTTACCTTAGGACTTTAGGTTGACCGCTTACTTATATATACAATATTAAGTTATTATTTGCTATTGTAAAAATTATATAGAGCTTAAGTTCTAAACCAAATAGTTTGGTAGGTTTTTTTTTTAGCATTATCAAGTTGACAAAAAAGTACATCAGTAGCCGTTGTAGATTGCAATACTTAATATTAGTAGACATACAGTAAGAGCGCCGATGTATTTCTTCCTTAACGGGCCATTAATATCGTACTTAATATTAGTAGACATGCAACTAATGGGTCTAAAATCGTCTTAGTCGCAATTTAATCATCTTATTAATTAACTGTCTTTTTCGTATTTTTCACCCTCTCCTAAAGGATTCATATATAAAAATTGTTGGCTATAATCAATAATATTTATAAACTTTTATTTTTTTTTTAAAACAAAAAAAAATCTTAACATAATCACACGACACAGAAATTTTACAATTATACCTAAAGACAGTCAAGCTTAAAACAGGTAAGCTTAGTTCTGGAACTCACTTTTGGGGGTCTGCAGAGAGCCCAAAACTACAAGAACTTTTTTTCGAGTGTTTTTTTTTCAGGTTGGAGGGGTGCGGGGGGGGGGGGGCACTTAAAATTTTCGAGGTTGGGGGGGGGGGGCTATGTCGTAAAGTAGACTCGTGGACTTGGCAACAATTTCGATAGAATGTGATTTTGCTTCCACACTGGAATTGAAGGAATTTGTACAAACTTTTGCAATGAAGGAGGCAAGTAAAATTGATTTTGATGTCTGCATATAACGTTTAAGTAATTTAAAATAAATTAATACGTCATTCTTATGTAACACATATGGTTACCAGCCAGGGGAGGGAAAAATATGAAGTTTTAATTCATTGAGTTGCGGCCCCTGCGGGGTCGTGGCCCTGTTGACTTAGTTGTTTTTTCCCGTTCTTTGGTGAGCGATGTTACCTGTGTCCCATGTCATGTGACATGGGACTGTGGGTAGTTCATGCCTAGCCGTGTGAGTCACACGCAAGCCTGCTGTCTGTGAACACGGTGACCAAGATGTAGACCTAATGAAGGGCTACAGTTTTTTCTTGGCTAGTTTGTTTTCTTGGTTTCCTGTTGCTTCAGTATTTTCTCTCGTCGTACTACTGTGTTGCATCGCCGTCATGGCTCGCTGCTGTGAATAAAGGAGTACTTGACAACAACTGTCGGTGTCAGTGTGTTCTTAATCTCAGGGTCAGCCCGTCTTAACCACAACACCTCAGTGGGTAAAAGCATCCCCACTGAGTGAGGGTTACATTTAATTAATTGTTTTGTTATAAATATGTGTTATTTCATGTATAAGTATTATATCAAAATTATAGATCTGTATTAACTTTTGAGCGATTTCCGATAACCGAAAGTGGGACTTTTTCTACTTTCAATTTTTCAAGAGCCTATAACTTGAGTGCTGTTTCAGATCAATAAATGAAATTTAACATGTAAGTAAAAGATCTAAATCTCTGCTTTCTATGAAATTTTGAGTAATTTCCGTTGATCGGAAGTAATAATTTTTGTTATTTCCGATTTCTCGAAAAACGCATGAGAATTTATAAAGTACTAATAATATTTCGCACTATTATACACATTTTGCTTGGCGTTCGCTTGGTGAGCAATTCTGTTTTCTACGCGATTCTTTTCTATTTTAAAAAGTTTAAGTAATTATAAAATCATGTCTATATCCCGAGTAGCCATCCCCCGTAGTGTTAATTAAAAAAATATTTAAGAAAGTTTAGGGGAGATCACTCCCGGTTTATTATAAATCATGTTGCGACTGATTTTTTCCTAAAGTAAAGGATTAACTAATTTCATGTAAATCCTGAAATGTTTAGGATCAGGTTAGTCGCTAACCTTTGTTTAAATGTCATTTTTGACTATTCTGATTTAAATAAACAAACATTTTTAAACTGTGTATACTTTAGGCTTTAAACATCTTCTACGCTAGCTTATACTGACTATTTTAAACTTTTTAACACAGCATTTGAACATTTTAAAATGTCTTGATTTTGCAAAAATTCTTTCACTGTCACATAGTGGAAAATAATATTTTTGTTCTCCAAAGAGATTATTTCATCAAATTTTTGTGTAAAAAACATCAGATTAAATAAAAAATTTCTAGAAATTTGATAATTATTAATTATTCAGGTGAAATACTTCAAGTGGATGGACGACTTGGCACAGTTAAACGCCTGGCAGTAAACGAACATTAAGAAATTCATTTCTTGTGAAATCTTGATCAACATTTTATTGTTTACTTTTCATACTTACGCTAACGGGTGAACTTTATTTTGTTTTTTATGCTCAGAATTTTTAAATTGACCTTTAGTTATTTTATATAGGACCTATTTTCCAATAGCGTAAGTATTTAAAACCATATAAAATTTCAGTTAAAGATTATTTCGAAAACGTAATATTCTGGAAATTCTTGTTAGATGTTAATTTTAATTAACCCCAATAGTGCTAAATATAATGTAATATTTCCTTTGATAACAATTATACAAAGCAAGCTCGGCTAAACAAAATTAGTTTTTTCATTCGTTTGCTTGAATAAATTACACTGATTATATTCAATTGTTGTTTTTTTTAAATTATGACCTAAAGTATGAAAATGAAACAATGAAGTCAAGCATACAAATTCTTCACGAAAAACTTCAAAACACTTAATAGATATGAAAAGTCTATGTAATCATATAAATTGTTTGAAAAAAATCTTAGAAAAATATGGCAAGTGATAAAATGATAAATACATTTGTAAATATTAAAGCCGTTTAGGAACCATCGATTACACTCATTTTTATATTTTTGCATCGAATATAAGGAGTTGAAAAGCCGTTTAGAATTATTTTATCAATTCAAATATTTTCAAAAACTGCCCTCATCCTCTCCTTGAAGTTTTTGCTTTATTACTATTATATTACTAGCAATTAATTTTTTGAAACTGGAAGTAATGTTGTACTTATTACACAATTGTTATAAAATATTCAATTTTGGTTGAAAAATATGCTTTTAGGCAACACAAATTAGGAACCAGCTTTTCAAGTCTATTATGAGTCGCGGTTGTCTTTGAGGGTGTAAGATGGACGCTGTGAGAATGGTGGGTGGCGGGTGTTGATTTGTACGATAGATAGACCCGCTATTTATATACCAAATAAAGTTACATTTTTCATCGTACTGTGGTTGTGTGCTTTGATTTTATTATTTAATGTCGTACAACAGTTATTTTGATTCATAAGATGTAGCAGGCGGAGAGAGATGGAAGATCAGCTGAGTCCAAGTCACAAATTGATCTGTGAAGGAAATAAAAGAAATGTTGGTCTGTTTGTCAAGATTCCAAGCAGCCTACTGTTAACAAAAATCATCAAATTAAAATTGAATATTTTAAAATTAGTCTCTGCGAACTAAAGCCAGTTTATTGCATTGTCCAAATGTGAAGCTAATGTTAAATTTTCTGAAATTGTTTTTTTTTTATTATTTTTTTCTTTTGCTGAAGAGTTTACAGGAAACCTTCCAGCACACATTCGCATCCTCTCATAATCAATGCCGTACCCTGTTTTTCCCATTCTAATTACATAATATCCTCCCATTTTTTATATCATCATCAGTGGTGTAGCCAGGAATTGGGGTTATTACCCCCCCTTGCCTACGCCTCTGATCATCATAACCTCACCTACACACTCACATTAGCTTAATATGTATCCATACATTTTGTGAAATATAAATGACGCTATTTCTTAATTAGTAGCGTATTTTTCTGAATTCTAACTACAGGACTTAAACAAAACAACACGCACACTAACTTACCATACAACGGTAGAGATAATTTAAATCGAATAAACAGCAGGTAACATAATGTGCCGATAGCGAGAAACGTCCCACACACATACACGTAGTCTAAGGATGGAGCTATGATCAAAGGGGCGAGAATCAAGTAAATGTTTATCATGATCATCAGTATAGGGACGAGTAGCGGGACCTGTTCATTGTAAAATATTAGAATTACAAACATACATTAATTTATAGAAGTTCGCATGCCTGTTACAATATTTAGGTGTCCTGTCATAAATATATTATTTTGATTTTAATCTTTAAATTCGATATTAAAGGTTGTATACAGATAGAATGCTGGGTACTTCACTAAATGTATTGGCTTCCCAGTGGGAGAGCTCATATACAGAGGCGTAGCGACCCTCCGCAGGGACAAACTTTTCGATTTGCACCCCACCCCCTCAAATGTTTGATTTGCACCCCCCCCCCTCTCAAACTTTCAATTTGTACCCCCCTCAACCTTTCAATTTATTTTTCCTACCCATTTTGGCACCCCCTAAGGTCGGCGACCGGGGACATATGTCCCCCCGCCCCCCCCCCCCCCCCACCTCGCTACGCTATTGCTCATATATGTTTACTAGATTGTCTCGTGTTAGATTCACGGGACGTGTCCTTAAGTCCTACCCAGCAGTGTTGGGTACTCGCAGATGAAGAAGAGTTAATATTGTTTTTGTCTCGCTATCGGCCGGTGGTACAAAGTGGTTGATCATGTTCTGAACCCACTATATTTTTGATTGTCAAGGTAAAATTCTGTATAACTCTTCTTGATCTGATGACTATGTCTGAAAGAGGACACTACATTTATTTTGATAAAAGAAAAAAAAATTCTGTTTCGTTTGGTAAATGTAAAAGGTCTGTTTTTTTTTAATAAGGTGTAAAACTTGAGTATAAAAAAAATTGAGTCTTACCTTAAATGGTCTCTCTGTGTGCTTAAATGCGCCGAGTCGGAATTTGATCAAAGCGCCGTAGACTGCCGCTTTATATATGGCTCGCCAAAAGCCTAGATAGTTTATCAGTACACCAATATCGGCTGATACAAACCACGGTACGGTCATAAACAGCTGGGGGATGTCGTAAAGTTTAGGATAGAGAATAAACTATTTATTTTGTCTACTACGTGTGTGTACATTGTAGTAATAAATTTTTGGTTTATACATGTGTCTATACATTGTGCCAGTTGGTATGGTGGTGTGTACATATGCATGTGTGTTGATGTAAATGCGTGAGTGTTGTTGTGAGTTCACAAGTGTCAGAGCTTATACTTAAGATTATACATGTATGTGTGAATATATGTGGGTTTTTTTTTTTAGACGTAGGCCATATATTATTCACTATGGTCGAATGGTAGACTTTTTAGCTGCTAGCCCCAGGGTCTCGAGTTCGGATCTCGGTTCGGACTAGTGACTGTTCTAAGTCCCTAATTTCACCAAGCTCTGATGGGCATAGTATTGATAACTATCTCCTTGTATGCCGAGGTCATTGAAACAGATGAACTCTACTTCTTCTGCCCCACGTGTCTTGTGCAGTGTTTCTTCCAGACTTTTTTCTCCGGGGGGCACTTGAAATTTTCGGGGGGGGGCGGTAAACTTTCTTCGGGGGGGGGGGGGGCGGACACTGTTAAAAGTATTTATTTTCTATATAAATTATATAAATTTCATTTCGTTCGGGGGGGGGGGGGGGGCGGTAAAAAAATTTCGGGGGGGGGGGGCAATGCCCCCCCCCCCCCCCCCCCCCCCCCGAAGAGATGCCTGGAAGAAACTCTGGTCTTGTGCATGCACGGAAAAAGATGATAACATTCACTAATAATAAAAACAGCTGATGATTATGGAATGCAGCTATACATATCTCCTTTAAACGAAAAAACAGTTCAGTTGACGGATTAGGATTAAAGAGATTACCAGGATTGTCATGGCACCGACTGGAGTCAGACAATCCACTTGAATGTAACTCAGTAGGTCAGGCAAGACACCATCCCTGGCGGCAGCGTATGTCATTCTGCGGAGTCGCAGAAATGTCTAGATTTACATACGGATTCATTGACTGTAGAATTGGGATTTGTGTCTTTGGATTTGTGGAACAAATGGGGTTATTTCAAGGGACTGATGAGATTTTGATGTTTTTTATAGACATAGATATTCATGTTTGTAGATTGGGGATTTGTTTTTTGTGTTTATTTGTGGGATTGTTTCACCTGGCCCTAACGAGACCAAGTCAAACTACAAATCTCTATATCTATCTATATATATAATTCTCTTCTGGGAGACGTTAGAAAACAAGCTGCAAGCGCGCCTTGCAGTCCACTCTCTTCCTCTCTATCACTACCACCCCCACCCACCACATGGTCTGGTGAGCTGTGGTCACGCTAAATGTTTACAATAATAGAGCGGGTTTAGTGACGGCTATTAGGGGCAGATAATTTAGTTTGAAACGATTTTAAACTTAGAGGAGGTAACTAAGAGGAGGCTGCTTTCATGGGGGGGGGGGTGTAGGGTAGGGGTTCGGGGAAAGGGGGGGGTAGTGTTTTAAAGCAAGTATTTTCAGTGGCAGCATTGGTACTGTCGAATTCACAAATTATGAATTACTGAAAAGTAGAAAATAAAACAACTAAATAGCGGCGTATGATACGCCGCGGGTCGGCTCGTATAATTAAAAACAAGTGGAAGTTGCGGCCGAGAGAACTAGAAAGAATGAAAATAGAGAAAGAATTGGAGCTGAAGGATAGAGAGTTGAAAGAAAACCAAATAGAAAAAGAGATCAAACAAATCGAGGGGTCTTCGTGGTCGAGTCGGTAAAGCTCATGGCTGCTAAACCGCAAAGTCTCGCGTTCGAACCCTCGGGCAGATAAGTCTCATCAACATTCAGTTTGTTTCCCTGAGGAACATATAGTCCTTACAAGCTTTAAATGTGTTTCGATTGTCGTTTGGTTTTTTTTTCTTTGCCAAGGGTTCAAATCTCGAATATTGTGTTTGTGTTTTCCGATCCCAGACTTCAGCCCTCTATTGTTACACTTGGGTTAGTAGGTATTTTGGGTTCGTTTGGGACAGGTTTAGCAATAATAAATAAAACACAATCCGCATAGAGAATCTAGATCTATATCATTTACGTGTAATCTTCACCAAACAAAGGAAAAAGAGCCAGACTGCTAAACCTAAGTCTCTAATATTGAACTAGGCTAACAAAATTGAACCAGGCTAACAATATTGAGCTAGACTAACAAAATAGAACCAGGCTAACAATATTGAACTTGGATAACAATGTTGAACTAGGCCAGGGGTCTCCAAACTTTTCAGCCCGAGGGCCGCATTGACTATCAAACATCGGTTCGGGGGCCAGAGTGTCTTCCATGCATCTCTTTGGGGTAGTGTCCCCGTGCCACCCCCCCCCCCCCCCCCGCCCCAAACGAAATATAATTTATAAAGAAATATATCCTACACATTTTAAATGCACCCCCAGGAGGAAAAATCTGAAATAAAAACAGTCGGGGACCGACAACACACTCGAGGTCCGAGTTTCTTCTCCATGGGGCAAACGCAAAAATTCACCCGCCATTTTTTGAACTTGTCTCTTAGGTAGTTATTTGCTTGCAATTCAATGACCTCTGCAGTTCATCTGGAAATTGAAACAGTCTCACTTCTCCTGCCTTTGAAACCTTGTCTGCAGCTGGGTGTCTTTGATGAACTCGCATGCAAATGACGTGGGGAACTCATCTGTTGCTTCAGCCATGAAGAACTTGCACTGCTGCAAGTGGGTCGCTTTGTTGCCCTGTACTTGTTCCAAAAACATGGAACAGCTGTCCAGCGAATTGCGAAAATTGCAAAACATGTTAACAGTTTTCACTATTTGAGTCATAATGTTTTCATCAATGTCTGCAACACGGAGGGCAATGGTATTTGCATCCAATGCTATATTTTAAAATTGTTTTGAATTTTCCGTGCAAAGTTCCACAGCCACTTCTAACAAACTTTTTTTTCCGAGGACAAAAAGATCTCCAAATGAGAAGACCTCACGGTCCGCATCTGCCCGCGGGCCGTAGTTTGGAGACCCCTGAACTAGGCTAACAATATTTAACTAAGCTAACAATATTGAACTAGGCTAACAATACTGAACTTGTCAAAATTAGAAGCAATGGATTACCTGCTACTGCTAAATAATTTGTTACTGGCGATTCCTAGGGTTGAGACAATGACAGCCAGTGGGATTATTACGGCAGCTGACCCTAGTGTCCGGTTGGCGAACAGCTGTGACATAGTGAAACATAGTGCTGATATATATATATATATATATATATATATATATATATATATATATATATATATATATCTACATATATATATATATATATATATATATATATATATATATATATATATATATATATATATATATATATATATGTATATATATATATATATATATATATATATATATATATGTATGTATATCTATATGTATTCACATAAAAAGGGAAACGTTCATAAAAAAATAAAACTGACCACAGCAACGGCTCTGGCACCTATCATTTCACTTTTGGTCATTACAGCCAGATAAGCGATGTTAGTCAGTATGTACAATACAATCACTGTAAGGATTCCAAGAAACAAGGCTCGTGGTATATTCCTAGGAAAAAAATAACATTATATATATATATATATATATATATATATATATATATATATATATATATATATATATATAAATAAATAAATAAATAAAAAATAAATAAATAAATATATATATATATATATATATATATATATATATATATATATATATATATATATATATATATATATATATATATATATACTAGCTTCAAATTCCTGTTGGATAACAGGCCAGGAAACAAAACATCTAATGTATGTTTTTTTTGTTTTATTTTCTGTTTACGGGGTCAGTTACCGAGGGATAAAATATCATATAAGTAACACCAGTCCTATTGACAATAGTAAGAAGAAGAAGAAACATTTCCCGGCTTTGTGATAATTGTAGCAGAGTGTAGCTATACAGCTACCCTACTGAAATAAACTACTAACACGGTGATCGCTACAAGAACTGGAGGTACTTACTTTGATGGGTTCCTCATCTCCTCGACCACTCGATTCAAGTCTGTTCTAATGAAAGAAAACAATCTGTACGCACGTATGCTCAAGAAAATAAATATAAAATTACATTTAGTTATTAATGTATATTCTCCCCAATTCTAATAGTTGTGTATTTGATAGTCTGAGTCAGATTCTGTGGTTGTATAAGACCATTTCTTTCCTTGTGTTAAAAAGGCAAATAAAATACAAAATGGCCGCTATAACCATGGCAACGCATGAAATTTTCCGCGATTTTTATTTATTTTTAGTCTTAACTCTTTGAGTCATAACTATATACTAAATATTATAGCTTTATGTTTAGAAATAAGCATTTTGGTTATTTTGGTTTTCAGCATCCGCCCATGCCCAATTATGTTGGTAATTCAGTTCAAATCTCTGAAGATGAGCTCTAAAAATAATCATTAAAAAAGTTTTAAAAAACCCACGTTTTCTGATTGAACTAAAAAGTAGAAAATAAACGCTATACATCACAATAATGCAAGCGATCACTCTACTATAAGCGATGAAAAACGTGGGGCGCCGAAGTAAAAGTTATATTACTATTGATTAGATAATACTATTGACTTTTATTAGGGAGCTTGTAGAGAGTCAACAGTATTAGAAACTGTAAGAAAATCACGGCGCCCCACGTTTTTGATCGCTTATAGTAGAGTGATCGCTTGCATTATTGTGATGTATAGCGTTTATTTTCTACTTTTTAGTTCAATCAGAAAACGTGGGTTTTTTTAAACTTTTTTAATGATTATTATTTTTTACTTTTTAGTCTTTGTTTGTTTGCATTAAAATCTTTCTATCGATTTTATCTTTTCACTTTTTTTGGGTAAACGAAGACAAATCGTAAAAAGACAACTCGTAAAAAGACAACTCGTAAAAAACACGTTGTGTTAACACATAGATTTGAACCCGTGTCGAGTGGGATAGCAATCGTGTGCCCAACCACTCGACCATATCGTCTCCCCCAAACTGACCTACCTCCTGTAACTTTAAACTCGGTTCAAACTAAATTATCTGCCCCTAAGCCTGTGGCGATGTGGGATCGTTCGCTTCACTGCGCGCGAGGTACGCGTCGCTCGTTTTTTTTCTAATGGCTCGCAGAGGAGAATTATATATATAGATTATATAGCGGTCTAAAATGCTCAATAAAATGTTTCCATTGATCAATTTAGTAATAATAACAATTGAATATTCAATGGTCATCCAAAAGAAAGCTTCCCTGAAAATTTCAGCGCGCTAGCTAACTGGGAAGTGCCAGAAATTTCGATCGCAAGATTTGATTGGAAAGACACACAGAGAAAGCAAGTTAAAGAAAACGTGGGAAAATACGTGTTTAGCCCCTTGACCTAATCTGACACGCCACTGTGGAATTGTTGTAGTTTTATTCAGCATTTCTAAAGACATTTTTCTCTCCGGCGTCGGTGTGTGGGGGTGGGGGGACACTTAACATTTTCAAGAGAGGGAAGTGTTCTTTCCGGTAAAGGGCCAGACGCTGGTTAAAGCATATAATTTCTATTTAAATTGTATTATTTATTTTTCTCCGTCGGGGGTGTGGGGGTGGACTTGCTTGGGAGAGAGGGGGGATTCGGAAAAGGACACCCATCGAATAGATGCTCGAAAGAAACCCATCGCGATCAAAAAGACAGACGATACAAACGGCCGATTGGCAACGGCTAATAAACTGCCGAACATACTGCGCTCTGCATCCACCCCCCGAAGAAAGTCTACCCCCCTCCCGAACTAAATGGAATATTATTGATGTAGAAAATATATACTTTTAACAGTCCGCCTCCCCTCCCCTCGCCCCCCCCCCCCCCCCCCCCAATTTGAAAATATCAAGTGCACCCCCGGAGAAAAGTCTGGAAGAAACACTGTTTAACATTCAAGTAGACCAAGCTAAACGTTACACTGCCCTACCCTCCGGAGGTGGCCCATATGGCACTGTACAAAGCTAATGCTAACGCTGATGGTTGTCTTATAGTTCCATCAAATCCAGTTCCTAATTCATTCGTGGTTCCTGTAAATTGTAAATTGTATTTATATGTTAAATTAACTTGCTAGGGCAATTTTAATATTTAAAGTAAATATCAAAGTTAACAAGGTAGTTTAGTAAGTGTAAGCAGTATTTTATATTGACAGTTTTGTGAATTATTTGGCGAGGCAATGGAGCGTGGTTTAACTTTCATTTAAGTCAAAATAAAAAGACTACTCTGAATCAGATTTAGTAAACTCTTTTTTACAATAGCTTATCTCTGAGGTACAAGTGTTCCACTTCAGCTTACTTCTTGGTAATGTGTGTCACTACACATGTAATCTAGGTAATGTGTTTTACTGTCGCTAAATTGTAATTATTTATTTACTGCAACTTACTTCTGAGTAATTCGTGTTTTATTGCAACTTACTTCTGAGTAATTCTTGTTTTACTGCAACTTACTTCTGAGTAATGTGTGTTACTGCAGCTTAATTTTACGTAATGTGATTTACTGCAGCTAACTCCTGAGCAACGCGTGATACTGCGGCTTACTTTTAAATAATGCGTGTATTACTGCAGTTTACTTCTCTGGAATTACGTAACCTCTTCTATAACTTGAACAAAAGTATCTCACCTTGAGCTATGGCCACCAGACCGGTCACTACAATGACCGCTAGAGCCAGCAACTTGCAGAATGTGGTGACGACAGAGACATGAGCGCTGTAGCGAGTGCCAGAACAGTTCACAAGGTAGAGGGTAACTAGTGGGGATGAAAATAAGTACAGGTGGGCCTAGTATATTAAAAATATCATATTAGTATTGTAACTACGGTTAGGACAAATTAGTACGGATTCGAATAAATAATAAATTACTATACGCTTTTCTAAAGTAGGCTTTATTTTTTTTTTCTTAAGCTAGCCTACATCTTTCAGTTTATCACTACCATTATTTACGATTTTAAAATAATTAACTGTAGCGGAAGTAAGTTATATATATTTTTAACGTTTAATAAAATATTCACTTTTGGTTTGAAAAATACTAGCTGGTAATTACAATAAAGAGTATTTGGTGACCTACTTACAAGCCCCATAGGGTAGGTAAGTAATCAGATACGTAGACGTCATATATATATATATATATATATATATATATATATATATATATATATATATATATATATATATATATATATATATATATATATATATATATATATATATATATATATATAAAACCGCTGTTAAATTGTTGAATTTGAGTCAGTTACTAAGCGTAGTTAAGTATGCTCACCGTCATATTAACACCCTAACTACAGAATAACAACTGCACCCAACAACCAAAATATAACAACACCGCACAACTATAACTTAACAATAACGTCCAACTAAAGACTAACACCAAATAGGTAGTACAAATTAATGGATCACTAAACAGGTACTGACATAAACCAGTGGCGGCGACAATTTTCTCCAGCTGTACAGGTGTGCCACAGGTGGGCAGGAGGGGAACCAGGTACCTGGCGAACGTCAGGGATTGGATGACCAGAGAACCAGGTACTGTGATGAAGGTGTACTGTTGGAAAAACATGACAATGTCTGGAAATAGCATGCATATAAAGGCAGAAGAGATATCAACTCAAAGAATGTTTAGTGTTGATAAACACAAACTAAACAATACGAAGCTGTTATGTTATGACAGATAATTTGTTTCAAGTTAAATGACAGATTTATGTCTTTAATCCATGGTGTGGGCCTTCGTGGTCAAATGGTAGGGCATACGATGTTAACCCTTAGGTTTCGAGTTCGAATCCGTGTTTCAGTCTATAAAACATCCCTGATTCCACTCATGCTAGGGAATGTAAAGCAGGCTGGGCATAGTGCTGACCACACTATACCTTCAAATCCCGAGGTTATAGAAACAGGAGAACTCTACTTCACTTACCCTATATATCATCAGGTTTGAAAGGTACTCTACTTGACACCCATTTTGACTACATACTGAAGGAAGTGAACTAAAAACACAAATTACATTTACCAAAATAGAATAAAGAAACGAAACATAGTTGCCAAATCCCAGATGGATGTAGGTGTATGAGCCGCCAGATCGGGGTATCAAGGTGCCAAGCTCAACGTAACAGAGGGCGTCTGGAGATGGATTAAAATGTTGGTCTAGATAACGCGAATACAAGTAAACATTCCTATTTAAACCTAGCGATTCTTTGGGCAGATGAAATAGAGTGTATGTGTTGCTTGATCTCGCACAAAGGATGTTGTGTTCAGTACTATGCACATGCGTCTTTACTTTCCCCAACGTTAGCCAGGTACCCATCAGAGCTGGATGGACTCAGGGACGTCCTACAATCACAACTCCGAACCGAGATCCAAACTCGAAACCTTCTGGCTAGCGGCAAAATACTCTACCATTCGACCCACAGATAAAGTGAGGGACCATAGACATTATTTAGTAGTTCATGTATTATCTATCTTTTACTGATGTCAAGAACACGGTGTAATTATCGTCAGTGGCGTAGGCAGGGGGGTTAGGGGGGGTCATAAACCCCCCCCCAAATAGACACCTCGGTATATATATAAAAAGTATGAGGGGGGTGCAAATCGAAAGTTTGAGGGGGGGGGGGGTGCAAATCAAAAGTTTGTCCCCGGGTAAAAATTGGAACCCCCCCCCCCCCCCCCCTTGAGACGATCCTGGCTACGCCACTGATTATCGTTATAGTTAGTCGGCTTTATATTATTGGACTTGAGCAAAGTATGCAAGAGCACTATGTGGACTGTTTCAAACTGGAAATGTCTTCACAAAAAAATTAGACTTTTGGCTTACTTCTAGAGTGCAGGTCTATTAATACTATTAAAGTATATTTAAATAAAAGTCATGTCGATTTATCGTAAGTAGGGTTACGCGATTTTTAGATTCTTTAAAATTGTTTTTGCGTATATATTAAAAGTTATATATTTCTAACCGGATCAATATATTTCTTCTTCTTCTTCGTTATTGGACGGGTTTTTACTCCAACACAATCTTGTATTACGTGTTAACCTGTAATGTGCAATATAGGCCGTTGACTCAGATTTAAGCCTGCTTTTCTTTTTGGATTTGCTTCAACAGCTTTCGTCCAACAAAGAAAAAACAACAGCCGTTATATGTATGTGCCCAGCTATCGAGCCTCATCCGCCCGTGGGTTCGAACTCGGGACTTATCGGTTTAGCAGCTATGAGCGTTACCGATTCTACTAAAATATTTGAAATCTCAGAATTAAAGTATACAATGTATAGCTTTTAAATAAATAATTCTTACCACCAAGGGCGATAATCCCAGCTATTGCCCAGACAATCATGCACAGCCCAACCGATCCAGTAGCAACAAGAACGCCCTTAGGTGAGATAAAAATTCCAGATCCTAAAAGAAATTTAACTTATTGACTCAGTATAAAACATGTCATTTGACGAACGCCATCCAAAACATACGTTAGGTTTGGGCCCCTGAGTTCGCTTTTGTCTTATTTCTTATGGTAAAAATAAGGAAAGTTTCCTTTTCGAACCCTCAAGGTTTCACCCTGTTTCTGTGATCTCGACGTTAAGGGATAGCGCGATCTGCAATATGCCCAGCCGCCTTCACTTTCCCTAACGCGAGTTAGGTACTAGGTTGACCTAGGAACGTTTTACTAACTCAAACCCGGATTAGAACTTCAGATTTCCGGGTTAGCAGTCTAGCGCTCTACCGTTAGACCACGACTTTCTAGTTTAAGTGTGACTGTAGCTTAGAGTTAGCCTTAATATAGTGAATATGTTGTTTATATCAGACTTCGGTAAAGTCTACTATACTCGAAATAAAGTAACAAAGATGGGTGTGTCGTATGATTTCACGATACACTACCATCATGGGTGTGAGCCGGGATACGGCCTGGGAAGTATATGTCAAATTTGGGGTGGGTGTGGTAATCAGGTTACAGGTGTATGTTTATATGTAGCTACTTTCCATAAGAAGGGTGTCAAATAAAAATGACATGAACCTACCAACGATGTTGTGGTTGTCAATTGACAAGATCATATTAATGATGTTGTGAATAACAAATCCCACGAACCTACCACAGATACTGTAGATCTCACATGATATTAACCTACCAGTGGTGCTGTGAATGTCCAATAGCACAAATCTATAAATGATGATGTAGATGTAGAATCACGTAAACCTATCACTGATAATGTTGATGTCACATAGCATAAACCTACCAATGATGATGTAGATGTCAAATCACATGAACCTACCAATGATACTGTAGATACCAAATGGCATGAACCTACCAATGTGGCTGTGAATGTCAAATGACATCAACCTACCAATGATGCTTTATATATCAAAAGACATGAACCTACTAATGATACTGTATATATCAAAAGACATGAACCTACTAATGATACTGTAGATATCAAAAGACATAAAACTACTAATGATACTGTAGTTATCAAAATACATGAACCTACCAATGATACTGTAGATATCAAAAGACATGAACCTACCTATGATACTGTAGATATCAAAAGACATGAACCTACCAATGATACTGAGGATGACAAATGACATTAACCTACCAATAATACTGTGAATGTCAAATGACATGAACCTACCAATGATACTGCCAATAACAATGGACGTAGCTCCTATGAGTCCCAGTTCTTTCTTCAACACTACATTACCGTTTGGCATTTTCAAAACAATGGAACTCACTAAAAACAAATAATTCTAAACCAATTATAAAACAAACCTAATAAGTTGATAAGCGTGTTTTAATGTACCTTAAATATATAACTGTTAGTGATACATCAACAGGCGCTAATTAATGAGGTCAGCTGCTTTAGGGTCAAGTAATTACATCATTCAATTATTAGCATGTGTTTACAAATTGGAGCGGAAACAATTCATGTTGCACTCCTTTGAGGTCAAAGGTCGAAAAAAATCCCACACACATCTTTCGTACAAATTGTTTTGCGCTCACCAATGTGTAACAAAATGTTACTATCTATATGTCTAATTTATGGATGGCGTGGTTTTGTAGTAGAGCATAAGACTGCTAACCCGAAGGTCTCGAGTTTGAAGCACTAGGAGAGTCCGTAGAACGACCATGAGTCCATCCACTTATGATGGGTACCCGACACAAGTTAGAGAATAAAAGGTGGCTTGGCATATTGCTGACCGCCCCTTCCTTTCATATGCCGATGACAAGAAACATATGAACTCTATTTCACTTGAACTTCTGAACGTTATGTTTAAAAGGGGACATTGTGTATTTGTTTAAATTACTGCTTTATTATATATAATAATATTATAATGTTTATAATAATAAATCACAAAAATATTTATATTATGCTTGAGCATTTTATTTAGATCTACAGAGTTATGCATCCGTGTACATTTGTGTTCACAAAATGTGTTTTAGGTACTTACTTTTAGCGTTTTTTCTTCATATTGTCGTATAATCAAAATTGATTGTGGATACTTTTGCAATATGTAGTTTAACAGAGGAGATTATATAAACGAATCACGATGGTAAAATACCCTTAGATGGTTTGAAGATGTTTAGAATCGCATTAAGAACAATTTTCCATTTAGTCGTTTTGTTTCCTTTTTCAGACTTTAAAATTCACAGGTCAGATGAGGCTGATTTTATGTTTTTGACCTCGGTATGTAAAGGTGAGAAAGTGGTCAGCATTTTTGCCAAGTCAACGTTACTTTCCCTAACTTGAGTCAGGTACCCATTAAAGCTGGGCTGGATCAGGGACGTCTTACGGACTAAAAATTAAACCAGTGGCGTAGCAAGAGGGGGGGTGCGGACCGCACAGGGTGACACCATTTATGGGGGGGGTGACACCAAGGCAAAAAAATAGCAAAATATATAGAAAAAAATGATAATTCCTCTTAATTAAGTGATTAACTCGAGTGTTAAATAGTCTTTTAAGAGGTGCAAATCTAAAGTTTGAATGGGGGGGGGGAGTGCAAATCGAAATATTAATGGGGGGGGGGGGGTGTAAATCGAAAGTTTGAGGGGGGGGGATGCAAATTGAAAGTTTTAGGGGGGGGGTACAAATCGAAAATTGAAAGTTTGTCACTGGGACAAACTACGCCTCTGAGGGGTGATACCATTAAGTGCCGCTACGCCATTGGTTTAGAGTGAGATCCGATCTCGAGCAGTTGAGCGTATTAAAACCCGAAAACGCCGTCCAGACAATTTAGTTGTGTTTATTTTTTACTTTCCCACTTTACTAATCATATCAGCAGTTTTAATCAAATGACGCCGGAACCACTTAGATATATGGCAAATGAAGTAGAGTCAGTCTGCAACGCATGGCGTTGTTTACGTTCCCAGACTAGTGACAGGTACCAATAAGTGCTGGATTGACTCAGGGACGTCCTGAGGACTCAAGTTCAGACTGACATCCAAACTCGAGACTTTCGTGTTAACATTCATGTGCTCCATAACCCGACCACGCCGTCCCGACTAATTACTTGCGTTAATTATTTATTTCCCTCTTTACTAATTAGTACTTTTGATTGAATGACACTGAAACCAGTTAGATATATTGCAGAGGAAGTAGAGTCAGTCTGTAAGACATGGTCCATCTTTACGTTCCCAGACTAGTGACATGTACCCATTACTGCTGGGTTGATTCATCCTATGTACGCTGTAAGGACTATGACTAAGTATGACACATTTACCACAGCTTAAATTAATCGGCTTAAATTTGTTCCACCATGAAAACACAAACCATGAACAGCCAAACACTTAATTACCATAATTTATTTGTCATACATGTGACATGCGTTTACAATTTTCAAAAATAATCAACTGTAAATATAACAAAATGAACGTGCAAATGAAAAAGCATCGACATGAATGAATTAATTAACCAAATAATGGCATTGCAAGTGTTGCATGACAATGTTGTATCTAGGTCAAGCGCCGTGTGTTACGTGAGGAATTTGGTCGCTAAAGAATTTATTATTTGGTGGGTACATATAGTTCAGGTGGCCATATTACACACCCCACCCCCCGTCAACACCCTTTCCCATGTCCCTCCCACCCACTCCCGTACCACATCAATCAACTTGTAATTGTCACTACATGGTGAAAATGGAATAAAATTGATGATTCGTTCCGTGCGCGGAAAAGATCACTCTACTGATCACGATTCATCATTTTAATGTCACTATGTAAAATAAACTTTGTTGAACCTAACCTAAGAAATAAAAAAAAAATTACTTAGTTGAACATAACAAACTAGAGTGAGAAATAAATAAACAATTTCTTGAAAAACATATTGCAAGTAGACCATAAATAAAATTTATTTATGATATACTTATTTAAAACATTTTATGTTTTAAATAAGTATATCATTTATGATTTTTAGTTTTAAAAATTCATGATTTAATTTATTCTTTTAAATAAGTTTATTTCGCAGCAAGTGTACATTATTTTACGATATCTTCCACTCATAATTAGTCCGTGTCAGCATTTCTGAATGGTGGAGAGAGACGGAATACGAGTTGAGCCACAGTAACACAGTTATCTGTGGGGGAAATAAAGTATTTTTGTTAGGTTTTTTTTTTTTTGTTAACCGGTAATACTTGGATGAAATTAATTAGACAAAGCAAACATGTTGTCATCAGTCAAATCACTTAAATCAAAAAGCATTTTAAAATTCTCAAATGTATGAAATGTTAGTAAGCTAATTTCTTTAATTTTAGAACTTTTAGAATGCCATTAATTAAAAAAACATTAAGCGAGTTTCGTGAACGAAAATTGTTGCTGAAAATGTGTCGGCTAACGATTCGATTTTTTAAATAATCAAAGGACTTGTGTATCTTAAGCTAATGCATTGTAGTTTGTTTTCCCCCTTCATGCCCAAGACACATGCGGCAGATGAAGTAGAGTTCTATTGTTTCAGATACCTCGGTGTATAAAAGTGGTCAGCACTATGCCCAGCCTACTTTGTTTCCTTAACGTGAGTTAGGTACCCATCAGAGCTGGGTTGACTCAGGGACGGTCTACTGACTTGAACCAGGATTCGAACTCGAGACTTACGGGTTAGCAGTCCAGCTCTCTACCGCTAGACCACTCCGTCTCACGTGTGTGTACACAAGCGTTAATTCGCTCTGTGTGTACAAAGTTTCAAGTGATACTGAAAATTATGCCGGCTAACGCTTCGATTATAAAAAAAATAATTTTAAGAACTTTTTATACCTCAAAATAATGTAGTTTAGTTGGGGAAGTAGATTGTGGGATGGGTGTGATCATGTGATGAGTGAAATGTGGCGTCATTAATATTTATTAAAAAATAAATAAAAAATTCCACGATATCTAGGTCTAGCTTGTTATAAAACGAAAATGGATTTTTTTTTTAAACTGACCATAAAAAGGCACCTTGAAGTGAAAGTGTATGAAGACGAGGTACAACAATGTAGCACAGACGATAAAACCGCCCCCTACATAGACGTACTCAATCTGTGGCTCGATGATTAAAGGGGCGAGAAACAGGTAAATGTTCATCAGTATCATTAGTACAGGCATGAGTAGTGGGACCTGGTCAAACAGGAGAGAAAAGGATAATTGTTTATTTAACTGTATCCGTCCTCATAGGTCGATGATAAAAACTGTAATACATAAGCGAACATGGCAAGGTAAACTAACGCTATAAAATTACAAATCTGAGCAAAAACAAAAAACTATTCAAGTCCATTATAATGTTAATTACTGTAATAAGTATGTACTGTGTACTGTATTATTAAAACAAAATAAATATTTTGAAAGACACTTTTCTCTACACAAAGCTGACCGAGTGTCTATGCCGACAAATGAGCTCTAGTAAAGTAAATAAATTGCCTGTATCGCTTTACCTTGACTATTCTCTTGACGTGATTAAACGACCTGTATCGGAATTTGATCAAAGCCACGTAAATGGCGATTTTAAAAATAGTTCCCAGGAAACCGAGGTAGTTGATGATTGAGCCAATCTCACCAAAGGCAAGCCACAGGAGGGACATGGACAGCTGAAAAATAATTAACAACTGATGTTACGGTCAAAGCCCGAAGTCGGCCAATGCTAGGATTGGCCGGCCAATCCGCGCATTGGCCAATATCGCCTCCCATAGGTCGGTCAAAGTCCGAAACTTTGCTTGATTTCGGCCTTTGGCCGGCCAGTCCGCGGACTGGCCATGGTGGACCGGCCAAAGTCTTAATTAGAAGCTCATCTGGCTAGGGACGACCGGCCAAAGTTCGAATTAGAAGATCATGAGCAGATTTTGGTTTTTTTTTATGCCGTAAGGATCATGAAATTAAGTCTTTATTGATTATTAATTAAAGTAAATGACAGAAACATTCAAATTTTTTATTGTACTATAGTCTCAATCTATCAATATCATCATTTGTTACAACAAGTTGAACTTTTATGGCATTTAGAATTACATAGCAGCTTGTTATTTTTACACTTGCAGAGATTTGTTGTGCACTTAGTTGTGCAATTGCAGCGAGTGTAGCCTTGGCCCCCAGTCAATGATTGTGAAGATGCGATGGTTCGTAGTGATTTTTCCTCAGTGCTAACTGACGACAATAAGAGCAGTTTTTCGTGAAGAATTGAAAACTCACTTTTAGCATACAGTTGTTTTAGAACACCATGTGCCGTTCCTAATTTGTAGAAACCGCCCTCAACGCTCATGACAACTGCAATCACGCTTCGGGGATCACCGTGACCTCTGTCAACATCTGGAAAACGGATGCGTACATTGTCACCCACTTCACCATCTTTAAATTTTGTATTTGATGTTTTAAGCATCTTAGCACCTTGAGTTTGCAAGCCAGTATGAGCTGCTGACCTGTGTTCCATGATGTCTTGTTTGTTGTGACACAATCTGCAGGTAATGTTCCCTCCGTACCCTTCGTCTGCTTCATTGGGTATTCCACAAATAGCATGGACATCGTTGCCACAGTATCCAAAAGAATGAGCTGCACTACAATGTTTTTCACAAACTATACAGAATCTGTTGGCCACATAATTGTCACGCAACTGGTCTGGACGTTCAGCCACGGCAGTAGATGTGTTAGCTGAGGATGTCGTTGCATTTATGGCAACCTCCATTTCTTGTTCAATGTTCTCAAGATCTTCCTCAGTAACTATTTTATCGAGAGCCCATATATGGAAACTAACATGGATTTACATTTTTTTCTTTTGACAGCCATCTGCTATGTCTGTCTCATGGTCTGACGGCCCTTTTGATCCATGTCGCCTTGCATATAGAATGCTATATAAACAAGAGCTAAACAATACGTTACTTTCAATGAAAACGCACCCAGAATAATGAAAATGCGATCACAACTTAGTCTAGATAGAACATTGGCCAGGACATACCGGCCAGTGCGCGCATTGGCCGGCCGATGTACAAAATACGCTGTCAAGTTTAAGCGCTTCGGACTTTGGCCAGCACGTCCCGGCCAGTGCGCGCATTGGCCGGCCAATGTACGAAATACGATCTTAGTGCTAAGTTCTTCGGGCTTTGGCCAAGAGAGCCGGCCAATGCGCGGATGGGTCGGCCAATCCTAGCATTGGCCGCACTTCGGGCTTTGACCGTAACATATATATATATATATATATATATATATATATATATATATATATATATATATATATATATATATATATATATATATATATATATATATATATATATATGTATATATGTGTATATATATATATATGTATATATGTATATATGTGTATATATGTATATATATATATATATATATATATATATATATATATATATATATATATATATATATATATATATATATATATATATATGTATATATATATATATATATATATATATATATATATATATATATATATATATATATATATATATATATATATATGTATATATATATATATATATATATATATATATATATATATGTGTGTGTGTGTGTGTGTGTGTGTGTGTATTACGATTATACACTTTTGACTTTACAATACGTATTAATTCAACTGTTAAGATTCATTTAGAAAGTACTATTATATGCTGTAGTTTATATTTTAAGTCACCGTTTATTAGATTTAGTTTGAAAACAAAATTACAAATTAAATTGACTTTTAGAAGAGATATGTTTTGACTTATAATTTTTAGGTCATGATTAATTAATTACATCCGTTGTTATGAAACGTAGAAAGAAAAAAACATTGGTTCATAGGTTTTAAAGCTTACAAATAGTATCTTACCCATTTTCCTCAAAGTTAAAAATCTTTATTAACAACTAGTAAAAACTGCGTAACAAAAAACAACCTTGATATATTTAATTGAGAGAAGAGTTTGTAAATTAAAATTTAGAGAGTACCAGTGTTGTCATAGAGCTGACTGGGGTCAGCCAATCAACTTGAATGTAGCTTAGTAGGTCTGGCAAGATTCCATCTCTTGCTGCCGCGTAGGTCATTCTGTGAAGACAATTTAAAAAAAAAAAACAATTTTAATTTAATTTACTTACTTTTTGTAAAACTAAAACGTTTATCGGTTAACGGGAGCATCATGGGAACCAGTAGCGGAACTACAGTGCCGCCAGCCCCCGCAATGCGTGAGACCCAGGCAGTAATGGGGCCCACAGCCGACCTTAATACCTTAATATATATATATATAAAAATATATGGTAGAGGCGTAGCGAGAGGGGGGGGGTGCAAATCGAAAGTTTGAGGGCGGGGTGTAAATCGAAAGCTTGAGGGGAGGGGGGTGCAAATCGAAATGGCCCTTTTTTTCTAGTTCCGCCACTGATGGGATCAAATAATTACACGTAGCACTGGGCTAGCAGTTAATAAAGATATAATATCAATTATTATCGTAAGTTAAGTTTTTTTTTCTATAGTAGTAGATGACAACCTGCTAGAACTTAACAAGCTGATGCTTGTAGTTCCCAGCGTGGAGATGACGACAGCCATTGGTATGATGCCAGCAGCCGGACCCAGTGTTCGCTGGGCAAAGAGCTGTTGAGTTGTGACTTTTATATATATATGCATATATATATATATATATATATATATATATATATATATATATATATATATATATATATATATATATATATATATATGTAAATTAATTTATCTACATAGATTTACTATTAAAGATATTAAAATAAAAACATGTTTTCAGATACTGACCACAGCAACAGCCCTGGTACCAATCATTTCAGTTTTGGTCATCACAGCTATATAAGCGATGTTGGTCAGTATATACATTACAACGACAACGAGAATTCCGAAAATCAAAGCTCGGGGTATACTCCTAGAAAGAAAATGATAAGCATACAATATATAAATACTGATAAAGAAAGATATTTCGATACAAAATACAAAACTCGATTAGAAATGGCTAGAATTTATTTAGACATAAGTTCAAACATAAGGAAGTAAAAGTACATCTAAAAATAAATAAAGCCGAAATCCCTCGGTCTGAAACCCTTCAATTTTTACACACATGTAAAGATTTTTGGTATTAAAGAAAATCAAGTTAATTTTTTTCAATGATAGGCATGGGTATGAAGTTATCGTTAGTGGTAGAAATAGTGATAGGGATAAGTGTGAAGATAGAGTAAGGGCAAGGGTTAGTAAATGTTATTTACGGAACAAGTTAGGTCTGTTGTTTCCTGTTTTCTGTTTCGTATTGTGTAGCATGGCTGGAGAAAATACACAATACCACTTGTTTCGTACTTTGTAGGATTGTCTAGACATTACATAATTTTTTTTAAATCAGAAAATCTTAATTCTTGTTACACCTCGTTATAACAGAGGGGTCTTTCATATAAAATATTTTAAAAAGTAACAAGGAAATGATTATTTCTTTGTATGCCCACTGGTCTGTCGGCTTTGTCTGTCGGCCTTTTTAATATCGGTCTTTAATTCACATCACATATGTGCTTTGTCAATTTTTACATGCGTCTAAAATGCTATACAAATACAAGCCTGGGATTACATTGCTCACAATTAAGCCGTTTTTTTCTGAATAAATGAAAATAATATCACACCGAAGCAAACATCTGATATTGGAACATAATAGAAGTATACGTTATTTTCTGATATATCGGACACTGGACGAAATCCTCGGATAGATCCTGAAATAGCCGGCCCTATTTAGAACTGGCTTCACTTCGGGCTCTAGCCTATACACACACACACACACACACACATATATATATATATATATATATATATATATATATATATATATATATATATATATATATATATATATATATATATATATATATATATGTATATATATATATATATATATATATATATATATATATATATATATATATATATATATATATATATATATATATATATAGGCCCTATATATATATATATATATATATATATATATATATATATATATATATATATATATATAGGGCCTATATATATATATATATATATATATATATATATATATATATATATATATATATATATATATATATATATATATATATATATATATATATATATATATATATATATACCCGGGTGTGTCTCTTTATAAAACTTATTGATCATATGTATACATAACTGAACATCTTTCGTGATACATATTTTATTTTAAAAAGCGGATATAAACAGTTTTTGAATTGTACATTAAGTCTTACACACTCAATTAATACCCCTTAGCATGAGTAATTCTCCTCCCGCTCCCCCCCCCCCCCCACGTCGTCAACATACGCACACACACTTCTCAACCTTTACCACAAGACGAAAGGTCTACTTACTTCGTTGGGTTTTTTATTTCTTCAACTACTCGGGTCACGTCATCACTGGTGTAAGGGAAATATAATTTTAATCAGTCAGCCGTGTTTCTAGTACGTTTATTCCCGTAATATCTTGTAAAGTCGTATTGTAGTAAGAACTAGTAATTCCGTAATATCTTGTAAAGTCGTATTGTAGTAAGAACTAGTAATTCCGTAATATCTTGTAAAGTCGTATTATAGTAAGAACTAGTAATTCCGTAATATCTTGTAAAGTCGTATTATAGTAAGAACTAGTAATTCCGTAATATCTTGTAAAGTCGTATTATAGTAAGAACTAGTAATTCCGTAATATCTTGTAAAGTCGTATTATAGTAAGAACTAGTAATTCCGTAATATCTTGTAAAGTCGTATTATAGTAAGAACTAGTAATTCCGTAATATCTTGTAAAGTCGTATTATAGTAAGAACTAGTAATTCCGTAATATCTTGTAAAGTCGTATTATAGTAAGAACTAGTAATTCCGTAATATCTTGTAAAGTCGTATTATAGTAAGAACTAGTAATTCCGTAATATCTTGTAAAGTCGTATTGTAGTAAGAACTAGTAATTCCGTAATATCTTGTAAAGTCGTATTATAGTAAGAACTAGTAATTCCGTAATATCTTGTAAAGTAGTATTATAGTAAGAACTAGTAATTCCGTAATATCTTGTAAAGTCGTATTATAGTAAGAACTGTTTAAATGCCGTAATATCTTCTAAAGTGATATTCTTTCAACATGCGGACGTTTTAATATGTGTACGAATTTTGTGTGTTGTATTGTTTTAGGGGAATGGCATTTACAAAATTCCTAGGGTGTGTAATGTGAGTAAACTAGACTTATTAATCTTTAGTTGATTTATATCCCTCTAAATCAATCTATAAGAATTTTTTTTATATTAGAATTATTGGGTGTCTTAGGTTAAGTATTTATAGTAGTACGCAATGTATTTAACTGTAAATTCAAAGTACACCAAGACAGTCTTTAAAAAATGAAAAAAAGACTTAATGATTAATAGTTAATCGTAAATTAAGCTTGCGTTTAGACAGTCTTAGTGTCCAGATTCAAATAATAGAACACTAGACCATTGTAGTATAAACATTTAGCCCTATATAAAATAACAAGCTAAGTTGTAAATGTACTACAGTTATATAAGGCTACTATAACAGGTTCATAATTTGAACACGGAGTGTCATAAGGTTGACCTACCCTCCACTTGTGGCCCAGATGGCGCTGTAGAGAGCTAAGGCTAAAGACGCGGGCTGTCTAGAAGTCCCAGAAAAACCCGTGCCTAGTTCATTGGTGGTTCCTAGAGGAAACAGAAAATAGATTTGTTATATTTTAGTCCAGGCATTCACACAAAACATCTGCTAAATTAGTGTCAAATCTATAAAACAAGCATATATGTAGCTTAGATTGCTCAAAACAATGAGTCAATATAAGTAGAGGAAGTCGAGGTCTAGTGGTATAGCGATAGACTACTAACCCGAAAGTCTCATGTTTGAATCCGCTTTCAAGTTAGCACAAAACTTCCCTGAGTTCACCCAGCTCTGATGGGTACCTAACTCATGTTCGGGAAAGTAAAGGCAGCTGGGCATAGTTCTGACCACACTATCCCTTTACATGCAGAATTCACAGAAACTCAAGTTCACTTGCCCAAGGACAGCCAGGTTCGAAAAGTGATCTTTATTTTTAAATATAAGTGACCATTTTTCCCCTGCGCCTTAGCCTACCTTGAGCTATAGCCACCAGACCAGTGACTATTATGACCGCTAGAGCCAGCAACTTGCAGAAGGTTGTAATAATAGAAACGTGAGCGCCGTAGCGAGTGCCAAAACAGTTCACAAGGTACAAGGTAACTGTGAGTAGAAGAAAGTATGGTATTATTTCTTAGAGAGTATGTGTTTAACTAGAAAAGATACATAAATATAGTTTTTTTTAATTTCCCTTATATATATATATATATATATATATATATATATATATATATATAAAGAGAGAGGCCTATCTTATATTATATATATATATATATATATGTAAATGTATATGTAGGCCTATATATGAAGGCATATATATATATGGGCCTATATTATTTATACAGGCCTATATATATATATATATATATATAAATATATATATGCATATATATTATTATTTATATGTGTAGATATGTACATATATATACATATATATATATATATATATATGTAACTAGGGGAAGTTACCAGAGACAGAAGAACGCAGTACAGCGCTGTCAACTTTGACACGACTGATGTAATAACGCAGGTGTTGGCTGATAACGATCAGAAAGCCAAGGCGTAGTATCTTGGGAAGCGATACGAGAAGAACGCAATACGGTCTGTCAACTTTGATGTGACAGGATGCAGATGGCTTATTAAATCGGACTGTACGACAGAAGCGGCGTAATTAACATTCTGATGCAACGATTAGAATCGATTACGATTACGATTATGATAGAACCGAATACGATTACGAATACGAAGGGGATATATAGGAAGGCGACGGCTGAGCTCGCGGTCGGTGTGTGTCTCCCTCTCTCTCTCGATCAGTCAGTCAGTGTGGCAGTATCAAGTTGGTTATTGAACGGGTTAGCCGTATTGTGTTAAGAAGGACGATAGACATGTGCATTCAGTTATGTGAAGACTAGTGAGGACTGTTGGGGGTCAGTTGATTCAGACTATTATTGTGAAGCACTCCTTTTGATTCATTATATTATTGTGAAGCATTTCTTTGATTCATGTAATAAAGGGATCAATAGCGAACCTGCATCTTCGAGTATCTATACTGTGGTCGATGTTGTGTAGAATGAGTGGTTAGACTCGGTAACATTTGGCGTTGTCGAGCAGAACTCGTTAACATTTGGCACTACAGGCAAATAGTCTCGTTACATTTGGCGCTGCGGACAGGATGAATTCAACGAGACTTGCCGCTTGAGGCACCCATAGTCAACCTTGTTCATAACTGTGTTTCGTGTGTGTGTGAATTCGGACATTCAGGAACAGTGAAAATTGAGGAACGAGGAAAATTTTTCATACACACACGGTAAGAAAGAACTTTTTTTTTTTACTCAAGGAATAAAATGTCTACTCTGGACGAGAAGCAGACCCATATTGTGGTCCTGCCCAGAGAGTCCCACATTAACAAATTTTACGGGGACGGTGATCCAGCTTTAACCAACAGGTTCAGTGAAGAGGTCAAAGCGGCCTGGGCCTCGAGACACATGTCACCAGAGGAAAGATTAAGACTGCTGATGGGCAGTATAGGAGAGACGGTTAGGGCAGAGGTCAAATGCCACGATAAAACCATCCAATCAGATCCAAATAAGGTGCTGGATCTAATCATGGAGACCTTTGGGGAGAGACGGTCGGGATCGCAACTGCTATCGGGGTTCGTAGGCTTAAAGCAGAGAATGGCGGAGAGTGTGATGGAGTATTCACACCGTATGAACAGGGCCTTTGATTCGGTAAAGGGCAAAACACCTGACATTGATGTACGCCTACTGAGGGACCATTTCATCGAGGGGCTAGCAACCCCGATCTTAAGGAGAGAGTTGAAAGAGGAGGTCCACAAAGACCCGCAGTTGACCTTCCTTCAGGTCAGGAACTCAGCGATCCGCAGGTCCGAGGATGAGGACCAACCGAACTGTTCGGTGGACAAAGTCTCTGTGCCGGAACATAAACCATCCCCACCCACAGGGACCGGCACAGTGGAAACCATGATGGCTCAACTGTTGGCCCACCTGGATAAGGTTGACCAACGATTGGAGAGGTTAGAAAGCAGGTCAACAGCTGAGAATCAGGAAAAGAACGGGACAAAACAGAGACAGGTTGGACGGCCGCGACCCGCCGGTCCATCGCTCCGGTGGACGGCTGACGGTCGACCAATTTGCTTGTCCTGTTCACAACCCGGACATATGGCACGGTACTGTCAGGGAAACGGTCGTCCTCTGTAAGGCAGGGCCAGGCTACAGAGGGGCGAGGTTATGGCCCAAGAAACAAAATGATGGGAGTCTGTCCCGAAATGGTGATTACGATTGGGGACATCGCGGTGAAGGCAATTGTGGATACAGGCTCCCAGGTGACGACAATTACGGAAAATTTTTACACCAAATGGATGAAAGGAAAAGACCATAGGTTGAGGTCTGACACATGCATGCGCCTGACGGCAGCTAATGGACTAACTATTCCATACTGTGGTTATTTTCTGGCGGATGTCGTGGTGGCGGGACATAGGTTGAAGCAGGTTGGGGTGTTCGTTACGAAACACAACCTAGAGACAAATGTGTCAAATATACCTTGCCTGTTGGGCATGAATATTCTTGGCCAGTTGCCAGAATTTCTTACAAATATTGTCGGATCGACCACACCAGGTCGGGGATCCAAGTTGGCCAGGTTTGCCAAGACCAGAGGAAGGATATCAGTCCCGGCAAACACGGTCAAGGCAATCACATTACAAATTGGTGATAGAAGCGTGAATGGTGATGTGATGATAGAACCATGTGGCGCCGCACTGAGGGCAGGCGTCGTGTTACTGCGGACATACACATCAGCGGAAAATGGACTAGTTCAAGGATTAGTGGCAAATGTTTTGGATGAGGAAATTTTTATACCGCCTAATACTCTGGTAGGAGTACCACAGAACGTCGAGGTACTAAGGTCGGCACAGTGCATCGAACTGAGCAATACCAGCAGTAATGAAGTAACAATTAGGTCGGTCAATGTGACGGCCGAGGTGAAGAAAGAGGATGGCCGATCATATACATTCCCGGAAACTGAGGACCCAAAACTAAATGAATTGCTGAATAAGTTCAGGGATATATTTGCCTCGTACGAGGGTGATTTGGGTTACACGGAAGTAATAAAACACCAGATACCCTTACTACAGGACAGGCCTGTGGCGCAACCTTATCGAAGATTACCACCAAGTCACTACTCGGCGGTGAAAGCACACCTGAACGATCTACTAAAAAAGGGAATTATTACAACCAGCACTAGCCCGTATGCGGCACCGATAGTAGTGGTAAAAAAGAAGTCAGGGGAGATAAGACTGTGTTGTGATTACCGGAAATTGAACAATATCACAAGAAGGGATGCATTCCCCTTGCCTCGTATTGATGAATGTCTTGATGCGTTGGGGGGAGCAAGATTTTTTTCTACCTTAGATTTGGCTAGCGGCTACCACCAAGTGGCCATGCACCCCAACGATCAACATAAGACTGCATTTATTTCTCCACTGGGACTGTACGAGTGGACCCGTATGCCGTTTGGTCTAACTAATGCGCCTGCTACATTCCAGCGAGTAATGCAGAGTGCTATGAGTGACTTTCTATTTCAAATAATGTTGGTGTACTTGGATGATATACTAGTTTACTCAAAAACTTGGGAGGACCATCTAAAAAGATTAGAACAAGTGTTTCTCCGTCTTAGGGAGATAGGAGTAAAGCTGAACCCAGACAAATGCGGCTTCGGTCTGAAATCGGTACGTTTTTTGGGTTATGTGATTTCGTCGGATGGCATCGCCACTGACCCAGATAAAATTGCAGCTGTTAAAGAATGGAAACAGCCAACAACCACGGTAGAGGTCAGATCATTCTTGGGCTTTGCTTCCTATTATAGAAAATTTGTACCTGGTTTTGCAAAAATTGCCGCACCGTTGCATGACTTGGTAAACAAAATGACAAAGAAACACAGTAAGGAGAAAAAGAAAGGCAAAACACAACTGATAGGTGAATTATGGACTGATGAATGCCTGAACTCGTTTAAGCTCTTGAAAAAGGCTTTGACAGAGACGCCGATATTAGGATACGCGGACCTTGACAAACCATTTCGGCTAGAAATTGACGCCAGCTCTAAAGGTCTGGGAGCTGTGCTATCACAACAACAAAAGCAAGGTTTCAGGGTTATTGCGTATGCCAGTCGAGCTCTGAAGGAATCAGAGAAGAACATGACAAATTACAGCGCCATGAAACTAGAACTTTTGACATTAAAATGGGCTGTGACTGAAAAATTCAGGGACTATCTATTAGGTGCTAAATGTGTGGTATACACTGACAATAACCCCCTGAGTCACCTAAAGACAGCAAAGTTGGGATCCATCGAACAGCGATGGGCAGCAGAATTGGCGCTCTTTGACCTGGAGATAAAATATCGCCCGGGGCGGTCCAATGGCAATGCGGACGCTTTATCAAGGAATCCGTACGAGAGACCGGGCGATGAGGAAGAAACGCTGACAGGAATATGTGGGGTCAGAGCGTCAACAGATATCCCTCACGGGGTGCAAGTGATGCAAAACGGACAGACCGGGGTGGAGCACATATCCACAGAGCCCGGACATATGGACATTAGTGATTTTAATTGCCTTAATCACAAAGAGATAAGAGATGCCCAGAGAACGGATAGTGGCTTACAGCCGCTGTTGAAACACGTCCAGGAACAAAAATTCCCAGGAAGAAGGGAAAGAGAACAATTTGGTCGAGAAACAAAGAAAATACTGAGTCAGTGGGACCGTCTCAGTATAAAGGATGGTGTTCTCATGCGGAGGATTCATGACCAAATTGATGGGACAATACACCAGGTGGTGGTGCCTGGACAATTACGAGAAGAAGTGCTAAGGTTGGCACATGACAGGGCAGGACACCAGGGTCAGGACAGGACGCACAAAATATTACGACGGAGGTGTTACTGGCCCAATATGGAAATGGAGGTCAAACGCCATTGTGAGGCTTGTGTGAGGTGTCAGCATGCGAAAATGCCAGTTGTCAAAATGAGACAGCCATCAGGACACCTACTAGCGACAAAACCACTAGAGATTGTGGCTATGGACTTTACGTCGTTGGAGCAATCATCGGATGGGACGGAACATGTGTTGGTAGTGACTGATGTATTCACCAAATGGACTGTGGCGGTGCCCACACGAGATCAGACTGCCAAAACAGTGGCAAAGGTCTTAATAGAACATTGGTTCATCAAATATGGCATACCAAGACAATTACACTCTGACCAAGGAAGGGCCTTTGAGTCAGAAGTAATTAACCAACTGTGCAGCCACTACGCGATCAACAAATCTAGAACAACCACATTTAATCCGAAAGGAAACGGACAGTGCGAGCGGTTCAACCGCAGCATGCATGATTTGCTGCGTACTCTAGAACCTGAACAGAAAAAACGTTGGCCTGATTTTCTCCCGGAGTTGGTATATCTATACAACTGCACCCCCCATGCCACAACCGGCTTTTCGCCACACATGTTGCTGTTCGGACGGGAGGCTCGACTCCCTCTTGACTTGTTCCTAGGAAAAAAGGAGAGTATGACTGGCTCATACACTGCACTGGAATATGTGAATGAACATATGAGACGAATTAGAGAAATGTACAGGGTAGTACAGGAAAGACTAGAACATGAAGCACGGCGAAGGGAACCGCCGGTACAGACAAAGGACCCGCCACTCAAACTGAACGACAGGGTATTACTGCGTAGCCACCCGTTAGGCAGAAACAAAATCCACGACCTCTGGGGACAGGAGATATGGCAAGTCGTGGAGATGCCTAAAGTAGCAGGTGGCCCCTTTAAGATAAGACCCATCGATCACACCAAACCGGATCGGTGGGCGAATATTGCTCAATTAAAGAAATATTGTCATAGTCAAGAAGAGCAGTTACACACAAGGAAACCCAAGACAATTAGGGAACCGGAAACTATAACGGAAATTCACATACCCATCCCGGGGCCGTGTCACCATCAACAGAACAACAGCGATACACAAGTGGAGGATAACGGCAACGAAGAGGATCCCGTTCCTCCCAGAAGCAGAGAGACAGTAGACCATCAGATAAGTGGTCCGCGGAGAAGTTTGAGAAACAGAAAGAATACGAAATTTTTTGTCAGCAACCATCAATTCTTTCATGGTCGCGCTGGTATGAGAACAGACTGTTCAAAAAGTCATACAAGTGAACTGGTGAAGGCACCAAACGAAAAAAGGTGGATGTGAATTCTAGAACTGTTTTGTGTCTGAGGAAGATGATGTAGACACATTTGATATGTGAAATAGGGATAACTGTCAATCTTATACGAATGTGACGACATTGACAGTGAGTGGAACAATAAATTTTTTTACGGTGGTGCGATTGACTTTGAAGGACTGCACCTGCCAAGCGTTGTTTGTGGTTGATAACACACAAAAAAAGGCAGGGGTGGATGTAACTAGGGGAAGTTACCAGAGACAGAAGAACGCAGTACAGCGCTGTCAACTTTGACACGACTGATGTAATAACGCAGGTGTTGGCTGATAACGATCAGAAAGCCAAGGCGTAGTATCTTGGGAAGCGATACGAGAAGAACGCAATACGGTCTGTCAACTTTGATGTGACAGGATGCAGATGGCTTATTAAATCGGACTGTACGACAGAAGCGGCGTAATTAACATTCTGATGCAACGATTAGAATCGATTACGATTACGATTATGATAGAACGGAATACGATTACGAATACGAAGGGGATATATAGGAAGGCGACGGCTGAGCTCGCGGTCGGTGTGTGTCTCCCTCTCTCTCTCGATCAGTCAGTCAGTGTGGCAGTATCAAGTTGGTTATTGAACGGGTTAGCCGTATTGTGTTAAGAAGGACGATAGACATGTGCATTCAGTTATGTGAAGACTAGTGAGGACTGTTGGGGGTCAGTTGATTCAGACTATTATTGTGAAGCACTCCTTTTGATTCATTATATTATTGTGAAGCATTTCTTTGATTCATGTAATAAAAGGATCAATAGCGAACCTGCATCTTCGAGTATCTATACTGTGGTCGATGTTGTGTAGAATGAGTGGTTAGACTCGGTAACATTTGGCGTTGTCGAGCAGAACTCGTTAACATTTGGCACTACAGGCAAATAGTCTCGTTACATATATATATATGTATATGTATATATAGGCCTATCTATATATATATATATGTATATATAAGTATGTTTATTATTTTATATGCATACAACTCTATCTCTCTCTCTCTCTCTCTCTCTCTCTCTCTCTATATATATATATATATATATATATATATATATATATATATATATATATATATATAGTTCTGTGTGTATGTATATGTATATAGTGCTAAATTAAAGTGCATTACTCACTGAGGCCAGCAGCGGCGAGAAACTTCTCCAACAACTCAGGTGAACCACAGGTGGGTATGACAGACACCAGGTACTTGGCGAAGGTCAGCATGAAAACAACAAACACGCCAGGTGTTATGATGAATGTGGCCTGTAGGGTTCAAGCAAATTGTGAGTTCTTGTAGGTACGCATGCAATTTTTAAACCTTCTTTGAGTAAGACTATGGGAATAACTTGAAGCGGACGTCGTGAAAGAGTTTAGATTAATTTTGAGTACACCAATGTTTAAAGCAGCCTAAATCTTGTTAAATTATAACCCCACCATGCTTCCGTTTTTTTTAATCATTCCCCCTTCTCTTCGTGATACTGAAATGAAAACTGGTCAAAGACAATTTATTATATAATGCACAATGACATTATTATGTTATATTCTAATATGTTACTTCTTTATTTTAAAACTGTTGTATTAAAGGAATGAACTAAACATTACAACTGACGTACCTGAATAATATACAAAAACGAAACAAACTTTCCAAATCCCAGAAAAAGGTAAGTGTAAGTACCGCCAGATTTGGGTATTAGTGTACCAAGCTCAGCGTAACAAAGGGCATCTAGTGGGGGAGAAAATATAAAAGTATCCGTCTTTAATTTTGTCACAAAAATTTTAATAATAAAAACGTAATTAATTGGTGTGTTATCATTAAAAATCATGCCGCGAATTTCACGTTTATTTATATTTAGCTATCTTACCACAAAGGGCTATAATCCCGGCTATGACCCAGACAATCATGCACAGGGCTACGGACCCACTGGCTTCAAGGACCCCTTTTGGTGAGATGAAAATTCCAGAACCTGGACAATTTTAAACAACATCATTGCTCGTGCAATTTTCCCATGGATTTGTACCCTTGAATAATTTTGTTTTTGTGATTTTAAAATGCAATTTTTAAAAAAAAATCAGATTTGAACTAATGATTGAACTCTGAAATAGAGTTTTAGGATATTTTATATATTACAGCCATGCAAAAAAAAACATGGCAATCGAAGAAAACCTCTACATAGAGCAATTGCAGTCTTTTCAAAAGTAATGTCCTACTGTATGGCAGTGAATGCTGAAAAGTAACAACCACTACCAGAAAATCACTGGACTCTTTCCGAAACTAAATCCTTACTGAGGATAAAAGGCATACACTGGCCTAACACCATCGTCAATGATAGAGTACTAGATTAGATGGAAATAGAAGCAGTTTCCGCAATAATCGAAAAAAAGAATCTGGCGATCGATAACGCACGTCGTAAGAATTAATCCAGATGACCTAGCAGGAATGGCGATAAATTGGGCGCCTTAAGGAAAAAGAAAGCGAGGAATGCCAAGGGAGACGTCGAAGCTCACGGCGGGGAAGCATCTGGCAGAGGCAGAACTGTCTTGGGGGTGATGCCTGGAAAATTTCCAGAGACCGACGAAAGTGGGGGGAGATTTCTGTGGCTGCCCCATCTGTCTTGGACACAAAAAGAAAAAGATGATGATGTATTACAACACAGAGAATATTTTCCTCGGTAGCAACGAAAGACGAAACTGAAGCTTTTCCTACGGAGCCGGAAGAGTTTTTACCCAGTCTTGTATCATCACTTGGTTCAAATAATAAGATTGTGAGAGCATGTTATTCGTCTTATACAAAAAAGAATATTTAATAGTGCATTGAGTTGACACAAATATATTTAAAATAATGATGAGCCTGACAAAAGATTATAGAAGTTGTGTTATTTCAGTTATGCTAAACATTGTATGATGTGGCTATGTCATGACAACGCGTCGTGAACCTGCAGTTGGTCAATTGATGTCAAATTATATTACCCTAACAATGAGGTTATTAGTAACAATCAATCTAAATGGATATGAATCTGAAAATGATGTTGTGAATATCAAACACCTACCACTGAGATGATGCTGTTGATGTGAAATGTCATAAATTTAGCAACGATGCTGTAGATGTCAAATGACATAAACATACTAATGACACTGTGGATGACAAATGACATGAACATACCAATGATACTGCCAATCACAATGGACGTTGCTCCTATAAGTCCAAGTTCTCTTTTTAACTCCACCTTTTCCTTAACGGAAGAGTTTTCCTTCATTTTCTAAATTTAATTGAACACAAACTTTTCTACAATCACGGGTAAAAAATAACAACTCCAATTTATTTTTTTAAATATGAAAACAAAATCATTGGAAAAATGTTTAGTACATAAATTTAATCATAAACCAACACATTTCTTGCAGGTTTACGAGAATTAATTTAATACAGACAATTTAAATGTGCACGTACTGGTATCTAAACGGTGGTAACCTACGACAATTGAAATAATGATAACGTAACAGCTTACCGACATGTCTTCAACACTAGGCTTCATACAGTTATCTTAATCAAGCGCTACATTCGCTTCAGCCAGAACTGACGCGTGTCATGTAAGAGATAGGGGTGGGTCCATGTCTTGATTAGTTACTACTGAGACGTGCTTAATATTCACTTACACAAATAAAGATGGTTGTGCACTATGTGTTGTTAATGTATGAACTGAGTAAAATACAGATTTTTTCCTATAAATAAAGTTTTGACATTTGATATTGGCATTGGGTATAGGACATCACCCCTATCCCCGTTAATTACTCCCCCTCACGTCAATTACCCCAACCCCTGGACATTTCCCTCTGACATTTCTTAATGTCCGGATGTCCTTGCTATTAATATTGAAGGAGCTGAGCCGCGCCGTAAGCATACGCTGCTATTTAGTTGTTTTATTTTCTACTTTTCAGTAATTCATAATTTATGAATTCGACACTACCCTCCCTTCTCCACTTGTAGATGGTGGAAGAGGCTCACTATCAATGCTCGTCTTGATTGATAAAACTAATCATAACAACACTAGCCAAAACAACAAAAGTATCAACACATATGTATTACCAATAGGCCTAATGAAAAGCTGTTAATGGCGAACAACATCTAAACAATACGAAATTAACACATGTGTAATTATTTTTTTGTCTCAAACTTTATAATTAAGTAAAGAAAAAGAAGTTTAACATTATCAGTACAGGTATGATTAGTTGGCCCTGGTAAAAGGAGAAAGAAACAGGTAAATGTTCAACTCTATCATCGGTACAGGCATGGGTAGTGGGGCCTCGTTAAAGGGGAGATAAAGATGAAAATGTTCAACATTATCATTAGTACAATGACGAATAATAGGCATAAATAATAGGAGCTGGTAAAAGGGGAGAGAAACAGATAAATATATAAAATTAACCAATTCAGGCCCGAGTAGAGAAACTTGAAGAATGAAAAAAATATTAAAAATAAAATAATGATTGCAAGATAAAGCTCGTTTACGGTTTAATCTATTAAGAATATTAGAACTATAATGTTTTATAACAAATTGAACAATGGGCACTAGACCGGTCACTATAATGATATATATATATATATATATATATATATATATATATATATATATATATATATATATATATATATATATATATATATATATATATACACACAGTTAAACATAACCTATACATATACATGTTTATTTATTTTATTTTTATCTATTTATTATTGTTTTTAAAACGTTTGAAAAAGTAAATGTTTGTATGTGTTGTGAAAAGTTGATCTGATATTAGCAATTACTTTATCTGACAAACTTCTAATCTATTCGCAAATAAATTAACATTAATAATAACAGGCAAACGAGTTTCAAAGGCTTTTCAACATTTTAGAATTTTTGGACAACTGCATTGTCACACACACACAAAACTATGAAAATTCATCACATTTTGGGATGTTTAAACAGAAATAGATGTTACTGGATCCAAACTACAGTGATAAACTGCATCCGTACGAGGCCACTGTTAATGAAGGGGTTAATGTTATATTTCGATGTGTAGTTAATGTAAGTATTCCTAAAAGAATTGTCTCTTTATTACGTTAAGTTAAGCCAAGTTCAAGAGCTAGTGTTACAGATTAATTGTAGCACACACCACCTGTGGGCCTATAACACAACATGGTCCAAAAGATGTATCAATTATATGGATGTATGGTAATTGTAGGATAGATATCAGCAGTTTCAAATCATTTCCTATAGAAAACATTACAGTATCTAGTCGGCCTGTGAAGTTCAGTTCTTCGACAGTTTCCAATTTTTTTCATCATTGTTTGTCAGCGCACAGATGGCGCCATCGAGAATGATTTCAGCATATTTCGCAATGCGAAATGAGGGTGGTACGATTAGCTCGCAGGTGCGAATGACTCTTTATTATGTTATGTCGCAACCACTAGTTGCAAAGTCAAGTACTCCGTTTATAGTTGTTAAGTAGGGATTAGCTCTACGGCGTAGTGAAATGAATAAGGGTTATGAAGTAGAGTAATGAAACGTTACGAAACATAAAGCATATCTTATCATACATAATAAAGGATTATGTATAAATAATTATATAAATAAACCGGGAGTGATCACCTCTAAACTTTCTCGAATATTCTTATATAACATTACGGGGGATGGCAACTCGGGATATAGACAATATTTTAAATCCATTTTTAATTGCTTTAACTTTTTACTTTCTCGTATATACGAAGTATAGAGAAAGTATTGTAATCGTGCTAAAAAAAAAATCGAGATTTTTACAAATCTCGACGTTTTACACCTCACTGATACGGAAAAACATAATTTTGCAATCTTGTCCGTATGTCTGTGTGTGTGTGTGTGTGTCTGTGTGTCTGTCCGTGTGTAAACACGATTACTTGAGTACCATTACAGCTAGGTTGATGAAATTTCATATATAAGTATTATATCAAAATCGTAGATCCGTATCAACTTTTGAGCGATTTCCGACAACCGGAAGTGGTACTTTTTCTACTTTGAATTTTTCAAAAGCCTATAACTTGAGTACTATTTCAGATAGATAAATGATATTTCACATGTAAGTAAAAGATCTAATTCTCTACCTTCTGTAAAATTTTGAGTAATTTACGTTGACTGGAAGTAGTACTTTACGCTACTTCCGATTTCTCAAAAAACTAATGTAAATTTTAAAAGTACTAATAATATTGCGCACTATTATGCGTTTTTTATTTAGCGTTCACGTGGTGTGCAATTAATTTGTCTACGAGATTTTATTCTATTTTTAAAACTTTAAGTATTTAAAATGGATTAAAAATCATTTCTATAGCCCGAGTTCCCATCCCCTGTTATTTTATATAAGAATATTCGAGAAAGTTTAGGGGAGATCACTCCCGGTTTATTTATAATAGAATAGAATCTCGTAGAAAAAAAACAATTGCACACCATGTGAACGCCAAACACAATGTGTATAATAGTGCGCGATATTATAAGTACTTTATAAATTCACATGCGCTTTTTGAGAAATCGGAAATAACGTAAATTAGTACTTCCGGTCAACGGAAATTAGGCCTACTCAAAATTTGACAGAAGGTAGAGAATTAGATCTTTTACTTACATATGAAATTTCATTTATCTATCTGAAATAGTACTCAAGTTATAGGCTTTTGAAAAAATTGAAAGTAGAAAAAGTTCCACTTCCGGTTATCGGAAATCGTTCAAAAGTTGATACGGATCTACGATTTTGATATAAACTTATATATGAAATTTCATCAACCTTGCTGTAACGGTACTCAAGTTATCGTGTTTACAGACACACATACATACACACACACACAGACATACGGACACTATTGCAAACTTATAGTTTTTCGCCTCTGGGAGGTGTTAAACGTCGAGATTTGCAAAAATCTCGATTTTTTTTTTGCACGATTACAATACGTTTTCTATACTCTGTATAAACGAGAAAGTAAAAATGAACTTCATATCAAAAAGTAACATTGTGAGTTTTTGGAAAGTATTATTGTTTTTACATTTTTATAGACATCTTTCGTGGCCGTTCCTGTGCATTTCCGCGGGGATAGAATTGAGTCTGACGAAATAATTTAAGAGAGTTTCATCAATTAGTTTCTAATCCTATTTTTATAGACGCATTATCTTGTTTTTAAAACTGAGTTATTTAAATGTAAACAAAGTCTGCGCTATAATTCTTGCATCATATTTGTCGGGGCACGGGTTTACCTACACTACCCCAGGGCCTGGTGTATGAAAGCCTTGAGAATAATGACATAGTGCAGATGCTTTTATGTAGTCGAACAGTCAAACCAAATAAACCAAACAAAAAATAAACATACAAACTTGAGAACAAACTTGAGTTTTAGTAGTATTTAGATATCTAGAATACAAAACTCTAATATATATATATATATATATATATATATATATATATATATATATATATATATATATATATATATAGCTAGCATCAATATCTGATTATTTTTATAACATTAACTTGGATATTGGGTTCCTTTTTTTTTGTTATCAACAGAGGCACTGCTAGAGTGTAAGTTTGTCTACAGTATGTAAATTGATTACATTTTAATCCAACGTACACTTGTAACTTTAAGTTAAGGTAGATATTAGGCGTTATAGAAATCCATTTGTTTTTGTTAATCAGAGGAGGCAGCGCAAGAATCTAAATATCTGTGCATAACATATAAAATTTACTCTAAAGTATATTTGTAAACAGTTCTATAGCCAGCCATGTGTTTCTTGTATTCTCTGTCAAATTCTTTGTTCAAATGATCGGAGAACCAGTTTGTCCAATCGCCGACATCACCTAGAAGTTAACAAGTTTTTATATAGCTTTTTATCAATTGAAGATTTTTCACATAGCATTTAATAGTAGTAGTTGTCACAAAATTAGCAATTTGATCCCAAAGTAAGGTATTATAATAATAAGAAAATTATGTTGTTGTTAAGAGGTGTTTTAAAAAAAAATATGTTAAAGCAACATTCATTTCCCATTTGTTACAGTCTTTTTTAATTCTTTGTTAATTACATGAATTAATTATTTAGATAGTAAAATAGTTCGAAACATCGTAAGAGTGAGATTTTTGTGTTGCTATAGGGCTGGTAAGTAGGTCACCAACCAGCTCTTTGTCTCATGCATGTTTTATTGAGCCTTAGAACTGGTTGGTGACCTACTTACCAGCCCTATAGCGGAAACTAGAGTACCGCTATCCTAAAACTAAAATGGTATTTATTTATGCCAAAAACCAATAATGAATTAAAATCGTACACCTTTGAATTGATTATTCATTTAAAAGCTAATACTCTTGTTTTAATCGAGCTCTCTTCATTGACAACTCATTCTTCCGACGTATTGAGGGGTCTCATAAAACTTTCATACGATCGCGGAAAATAAGTCGGTAAAGAAGGGGCTGAAAGACAGAAGTTTCGGAAGCCCAATGTGACGCCTTTTTTGTTTTGTGTTCAAATCAGATAAGGCCGCCAGAGAAAGCCACTTCTAATTGTGTTGATCGCTGGCGATTCCCCAGACACTCCCAAATGACAGTCCAGTCTTTGCCAGCTGCTTCAACGCCGAGCGGTTTTCCTGCTTTCATTGCTTTCTATTTCATTGCGGCGTCCATTTTAGCGCCATTCCTGCAATATCATCTGGATTTATTTTGAGGACGTGCCCCTTCCATCGCTATCTTCTAATATCGATTATATTCGGAAACTGCTTTTATTTCCATCTCTCCGATTAGTCTATCATTTGAGATAGTGTTGGCCGGTGTATGCCTTATACCCTTTGCAAGCCTTAGTTTGGATTATTAAAATGTCAAACTTGAATTGATTATAAGTGTCTATTTGGTAATATAATTTATTAAATAATATTAAGGTTTTCGGGTAAGTGTCCATTCGGACATTTGTCCCATTCGGACAAGTGTCCATTCGGACATTTTCGCATTTGGGCAAGTGTCCATTCGGGCATTTGTCGCATTCGGGCAAGTGTCCATTCGGTCATTTGTCCCATTCGGACAAGTGTCCATTCGGACATTTTCGCATTTGGGCAAGTGTCCATTCGGGCATTTGTCGCATTCGGGCAAGTGTCCATTCGGGAAATCGGCCTTCGGGAAAACGGCAATCGGACAAGTGTCTTTCGGGAAAACTTCCGGTTCCCAAGCTTAGGCATCAAAATTATTTGGTCTTAGATGTTGGGGCGCGGGTTTGTCCACACTACCTGGAAATCTTGAATGTGCTTCGATTATCCCGTTTTATTTATTTAAATTGAGCATAGTTTTTATTACAAATGTATTTTTGGACTTTCCTAAAATGTCTAGTATTTGCTATTGTATTAGATTATCATTTCCAGTGTATTGGAACAACTGTGGCATATTAACCGTATAATATGATTTTAAGCAAATTTAGACAGTCTTGATTAGGCAATTTACAGACAACTAATGTTCATTTTCGCGCTTGTCAAAACTGCCCATATACATTGTATTTAGAGGCGTTAGGATTAGAATTACTGGGTGATATATTTTGAGAGATTGTTTTACCACTTATAACAGTGTTCACGAACTACGTACAAAGAATAATATTTCAGCTCCATACCTTTTCTGAAAAAGCCATTTTTTCGGTTGCGAAATATACCATTTAGTCTTTCTGGTGTCGTATTTTCTTTGAAGGGCTTCAAGCTGTCAAATCTACAGGTCTCTGCTATCTTTTCACAAAGCTCATCGCTACAACCCGTGCCTAGAAACTTATTCAGTTTTTTAACGCCAGCTTTGTCATCCTAGTTTTGGGATAAAACACAGAGTTAAATAAAAAAAAATTAAAAAAAAAACGGTGGGTTTTTTCACCATTAAGCACAAGTCTTATTAGAACTAGCTATGCAACCTAACTCTGTCGTTGGTTTTTTTTTTTTGTTACAATAGCAATGCTATGAGGACACATAAAAATTTATTTCATGCATTTTGTAAAATGTGTTTACGGTAAATGTAAAACAACTAAAATATTGCAGATATGTGGGCTGTTTTTTTTTCTAAGCGTGACAACATAATAGATATTTAACTAAGTTTTATGTAACATAATCTTACTAGAAAATCAACACTCACTAATTTCATATCCTCGTACACTGATGTGTAGAATGGAACATCCGGGTTAGCATCAATGCCGTCTTGCCATTCCATCAGATATGTAAATAGGTCACCAAAACAATCTGAAACAGAAAATATCTGCTTACACCCTTATGTGAAAACTACTTTATCCATTCTATCAAAAAAGTAATTCGGTCATTAGAAAAATCTGCACAGCAACATTATGTTTATACGCTTTTCAGAGAGCTACGCTTGACTTTCCACCAAAATGCAAAAAGTTAAAATAAAACTTATCATAAAGGAAAACGAGCTCAGTGTTGAGTAATAACTGATATGGTCATCGTGTTCTAGCTGTCCAGCGTTCTTCCTGTTAACCCGTTTGCTAAAAGTTTGTACTCTGGATTAGACTGTAGATCATTCACCTTATGAACTACAACATGAACTGCCACATAAACTGCCACATGAACTGTCACATGAATTGCGACATAAACTCTCATATAAGCTGCCACATGAATTGACACTTGACTGCAATCCATGAGGTTAATAGCTATTTGTACAAGCTTTTATTTAACTTTCTTCCTGGTCCAGTCTGTCTGTCGTCAGTCGGTCGTCATTCTGTCGTCATAGATCGAAACGCTCGAGCGAAATTTCGGGTACATCTAACAGACATATTCGTTTCAAAGTTGGCACGTGGTTCAAGTTGTAAAGACAATGCACTCTGACATTAAATTTGACTTAATTAGATGCTTAATTATTTTTTTATGAATTAACTATTATTGTGTTCAAAGTAGTAGGCAGACTAATCCAACTATTACGCACTATTATAAGCACGTTATCAAGTTCATTAGGTGCCAATAATTTTTAGTCATGCAACTCTATTGTAAAAAAAAATTAAGTACTGAAATTTTAAAAAAAAACTTTTAATTAATAACAAGCTGTTATGTAATAAGGCACTAAAAAGTAGAAAATAAATTATTTTCTTGAAATATATACTAATACACTACTATTTAAATAAATATAAAGAAAAGCGTCGGTCTCTTCCTAAATATTAGTAAAGGTATTCAATAGATACTAAAGAATGCAAAAAAAATGAAGCTATTTTCCTTGGTAAGGTGACAGTGCTAAATCTGACATCATGTTTGAGTTTAATGCTGACACTTCGAAACTAAACTTACAGCCCGCTTCTAAGTTAAGACAGACAAACTGCTCAAACGTCCCAGGATAATGCAGTGGCTCCGCAGTTTTCTGAAGGAAAGTGTAGAGCGAGACCAGAGTATCTTTTGGATTTCTGTCCAAGCGGATTATTTTTATTTTCTTCTCCAAAGCTTGCTTGGGGATATACCTAAAATAACAACAACGCAAGTTAAACTTCGTGTTAGAGACATAGGTACATAAAAGCGCGAGTAAAAAAAAATTCACGTCATGGAATCCGATCCAAAATATCACCATCCTTCATCAATCTCGACATTGTCGTATTTATATTTAAAAAAACATAGTAATGCATAATCACCATAAATAAAAAAATACAACACTACGCCGATTTAAGAAAACATAACCACTTTTGACAAGTTCATTTATTACTCACAACTACAATACCATCAACTACAAGAATTTCGTTTGATCAAAAATACATGATGCAATTAGTTTAGACAAGTTAACACTACCTAAACGGCACATGAGTTTCAATAAGTCTTGGCGATTTCATGCTGGTTAAGCCATGCATTGGTCTCCCGTCTATGAAATACATGATGTTCTCTCTTTCTGCGCTCAGTTTCTCTGTCTTGTGCATCAACATGGCCACTATCTCTTGGTGCCAATGGAGACCTGTTTTAATGATGGTTATAATGCGTTGAGAAATTTACTTAAACAAATACTTGAAAAAAATATTTCGCAACAGCTTCCTCGTATTACCTGTCCGTGGATATGAGCAAATCAAGACATCATCAGGGCGTATCTCCATGTCTCTGAAGTTACGTAGGTGTGTCCTGTAGTCAGTGTCGGAACCTATAGGTAGGGGGAGATGCCAGTAGCCACCGGCATTGCCGAAACGGAACGTGTTGCCGAATCTGAAAAGTCAGTACTATGCGTAGAATTATGTTATAAACAAACCTTAACACAGAGAAAATTTATCAATGGTTTCTTATACTTTCCCTAATGCCGATCATTTATAACTCTCTTGTATACAATCATTGCCAGCGCTATCAATGCTCATTATCAGGGTAATTATGTCGATCGAATATTATCAGCCGCTATACTATGGGTTTTTGACCTGTTTTTGCTTCCACAGCTAGCAATACACAATACCTGGTGTAAACGTGAACAACAGCTCGGTCCGGAGAAGAAATACGGTCTAAAGACCGGTAACCGAATTCATGACAACGCCGTCGGAAACGATGATTCGACTAAATGTAGCCATTAGGCAAAAAATGTTACGTTATAACTGTAGGCTTTGAATTTATTTTTTTCACTACATTTGATACACTAATTCTAGTCCTAATTAATATTATTTTTCATATTTAAATTTTTATTTAAAGCGTGCAATCAGCCTGTTCCTTTGTTTATTTTCTTAATATTTGAACTTGCGAGCTGCGTATATGAAGCTCGTTTCTTGCACCATACTTAAAGTCCTTATGATGTGGTATCGGAAATGTAGCGTTTGTGTAAAAACATGTACAAGTCATGTTTGTCGTTGTGGATTTTACGTTTCCGCTGACACTGTGTCGTGCTCCATAATGGTCCCATAAGCTTCTTCGTCTTTTTCTTTGTTCTTAACTTTATTGTTAACAGGGATTTCTTTCAACACAATTAAAGTATTACGTGTGAACGTGTTATGCGCCATAGGGGCCGTTAACTCCGCTTTTAGCCAGCTTTCAGTTCTGGATTTCCAAGTAGGGTCTTAGTTCAACCAAGAACAAACAACAAGGAAGCTGGTGTTTTTGTTTTTGAGGTTTTGTTTCCGAGATGGGTTGCTGTCTTCAGTAATCGAGCCTCAACTGCCCGAGTGTTTTTTAACTCGGAAATTTGTTGGATTAGCAACCATGAGCTTTACCGACCTGGTATACTATATTACCGGTATCCATCGCCGTTCACAACCGTGCCTTGTCGTTGGTTCGAAACCACATAGCTCCACATGCAGCTAGATAGGTAAACCTACTATAAACGGATATTTTTTGAATGGTTTACGTTTCCATCATGTTAACCGATATCACCCTCATAGTGACTACTTACTCTACATCTTAACCAAGACGTACCTGTCTGTTATAGTAGACAGCTGAGGCAAGGTCTTCTGAACACTTTCCGTGAAAGTTGTAGCAGCCCCATTTTCTTTCGACATGGTCGTGTCTGTTACAGTGCCAAAACCAGGATGCCTAAATGTAGCATGTGTAATTGGAGGAAATTTTGTAACTGATCCTTATAAAGGTTAAAACCAGAGGCGTAGCGAGGAGAGGGCGGAGGAAGGGGGTGGGGTGCGGACCGCACCGGGTCACACCATTTAGGGGGTGTAACCATGGGAAAAATTGTAAAATATATAGAAGATAATGCTTTTTGCCAGTTCAATTAATTAACGCCATTTGGCAAAATTGGAAAGCGAAGTGACAAAATGTAACTATATATATATATATATATATATATATATATATATATATATATATATATATATATATATATATATATATATAGGCCTATGAAGATTTTTGTATATAATATATTTATATATATATAAATATATAAATATATATATATATATATATATATATATATATATATATATATATATATATATATATATATATATATATATATATATATATATATATATATATATATATATATATATATATATATATATATATATATATATATATATATATATATATATATATACGTTTTTTTCTGGGAGAGAGGGTGACACCAAGAGGTCCCGCACCGGGTAACACCCCACCTCGCGACGCCGCTGGTTAAAACACATCATGAAACCGAATTACAGCGTGGCTTTAAATTATTCAAAAATCTATTCATTACACTATAACAAGTCGCATTATAGATGACGATTTTGAAGTGATCGAGTAGGCTTGATCAAAGTTCCTTCTGAAAAGAGTGAGCGAAATGAAACCAAATAATTCTGGACTGTTAACGACAGTTATTGTAATGTCAATATGAATTGAACAAACACAATGAAAAAAAATTTGATTATTGTAATTTAATGCACATATTAAAACGACAAATGAATCAAAAGGTGGGGATAATGTGAGTGGTAGCAGAATGTTGCATACTGTCAGTAACACTTGACATACGCCCCTCCCACCCTCTTTCCTCGGATTAATAACCACCTGTACATTTCCATCTATGTTATTATGCGATAGAGAATGGTTTAAGATACGTTTAGGCTATGGCTATTGCTATGGCTATAGCTATAGCTATGGCTATGGCTATGGCTATGGCTATGGCTATGGCTATGGCTATGGCTATGGCTATGGCTATGGCTATGGCTATGGCTATGGCTATGGCTATGGCTATGGCTATGGCTATGGCTATGGCTATGGCTATGGCTATGGCTATGGCTATGGCTATGGCTATGGCTATGGCTATGGCTATGGCTATGGCTATGGCTATGGCTATGGCTATGGCTATGGCTATGGCTATGGCTATGGCTATGGCTATGGCTATGGCTATGGCTATGGCTATGGCTGTGGCTGTGGCTGTGGCTGTGGCTGTGGCTGTGGCTGTGGCTGTGGCTGTGGCTGTGGCTGTGGCTGTGGCTGTGGCTGTGGCTGTGGCTGTGGCTGTGGCTGTGGCTGTGGCTGTGGCTGTGGCTGTGGCTGTGGCTGTGGTTGTGGTTGTGGCTGTGGCTGTGGCTGTGGCTGTGGCTGTGGCTTTTGCTGTGGCTGTGGCTGTGGCTGTGGCTGTGGCTGTGGCTGTGGCTGTGGCTGTGGCTGTGGCTGTGGCTGTGGCTATGGCTGTGGCTATGGCTATGGCTGTGGCTGTGGCTGTGGCTGTGGCTGTGGCTGTGCCTCGGTATGTGCGCATGAATGATGCGATCTATTCAATCGTTATTGTAAAAGTTATATAGAAATTTGCTTAGCCCAAAATAGCAAACTTAACTGAAACGCGTTAGTAGCTAGTTAGCAAAGTATGGCTGAATGTGTGTTTGTCACACACAAAAAAACGGCCCCCAACAAATGAATTATTACGTTTACTCGATAAAACTTGTGACAATTTTTTTTAATTTTCCATGTTTATTTCAAAGTTAAAATTAAACAAGTATGTGGCAAATTTAATATATTTTAAACAATAGCAGATAAGATAAAAAAAAAATTGCTACAATGGTTTACAACCCAGAAGGATGTATGTACATTAGAATTACAGGTTGTCACTGGGGATTAACATAGTTACCCTTTGGTACTGAGTAATGATGGGCATTTGTAATGGATGCAGAGGCAACTCTTTTACGTTATAATTAAATTCAACGTGAAGCTGTTTCTTACTGATCCTCATATTGTGTTCTTATTGTGTTCTCGGATCAATTTTTACCCATGTAACATATTGTACAGACAGCAACTTAATGTACACCTGTGTGATACAGACATTTCCTCTCTAGGAACTCTAGTATGTAACACTAATTGTAGCTAAAAGATATATATATATATATATATATATATATATATATATATATATATATATATATATATATATATATATGTATATCCCCCCCCCTCTCTCTCTGAATATATATATATATATATATATATATATATATATATATAGAGAGAGAGAGAGAGAGAGATAGATATATAGCTAATTAAATATTAAAAGAATATAGATATAGACTATATCGATAAAAAGATAAATCTATAAAGATATCTAGAATACTAGATATTCTAGAAATAGATATATAGATAGATATATAGATATATAGATATATAGATATATAGATATATAGATATATAGATATATAGATATATAGATATATAGATATATAGATATATAGATATATAGATATATAGATATATAGATATATAGATATATAGATATATAGATATATAGATATATAGATATATAGATATATAGATATATAGATATATAGATATATAGATATATAGATATATAGATATATAGATATATAGATATATAGATATATAGATATATAGATATATAGATATATAGATATATAGATATATAGATATATAGATATATAGATATATAGATATATAGATATATAGATATATAGATATATAGATATATAGATATATAGATATATAGATATATAGATATATAGATATATAGATATATAGATATATAGATATATAGATATATAGATATATAGATATATAGATATATAGATATATAGATATATAGATATATAGATATATAGATATATAGATATATAGATATATAGATATATAGATATATAGATATATAGATATATAGATATATAGATATATAGATATATAGATATATAGATATATAGATATATAGATATATAGATATATAGATATATAGATATATAGATATATAGATATATAGATATATAGATATATAGATATATAGATATATAGATATATAGATATATAGAAATGTAGATATATAGATATATAGATATATAGATATGTAGATATATAGATATATAGATATATAGATATATAGATATATAGATATATAGATATATAGATATATAGATATATAGATATGTAGATATATAGATATATAGATGTATAGATATATAGATGTATAGATATATAGATGTATAGATATATAGATGTATAGATGTGTAGATATATAGATGTATAGATGTATAGATAGATAGATGTATAGATGTATAGATGTATAGATATATAGATGTATAGATGTATAGATAGATAGATGTATAGATGTATAGATGTATAGATGTATAGATGTATAGATGTATAGATGTATACATGAATAGATGTATAGATGTATAGATGTATACATGTATAGATGTATACATGTATAGATGTATAAATGTATAGATGTATAGATGTATACATGTATACATGTATAGATGTATAGATGTATAGATGTATAGATGTATAGATGTATAGATGTATAGATGTATAGATGTATAGATGTATAGATGTATAGATGTATAGATGTATAGATGTATAGATGTATAGATGTATAGATGTATAGATGTATAGATGTATAGATGTATAGATGTATAGATGTATAGATGTATAGATGTATAGATGTATAGATGTATAGATGTATAGATGGATAGATGTATAGATGTATAGATGTATAGATGTATAGATGTATAGATGTATAGATGTATAGATGTATAGATGTATAGATGTATAGATGTATAGATGTAAAGATGTATAGATGTATAGATGTATAGATGTATAGATGTATAGATGTATAGATGTATAGATGTATAGATGTATAGATGTATAGATGTATAGATGTATAGATGTATAGATATATAGATATATAGATATATAGACATATAGATATATAGATATACAGATATATATATATATAGATATATAGATATATAGATATATAGATATATAGATATATAGATATATAGATATATAGATATATAGATATATAGATATATAGACATATAGATATATAGATATATAGATATATAGATATATAGATATATAGATATATAGATATATAGATATATAGATATATAGATATATAGATATATAGATATATAGATATATATATATATAGATATATAGATATATAGATATATAGATATATAGACATATAAATATATAGATATATAGATATGACATCTTCGGCTGTCACAGTAAACGATCCTACAGCCTCAAAATCTCTTTTGCTAAGAATATTGTTACTCATAGTTTGACTGCAACCTAAAATGGTAATCCATTTTAAATAAATAGCAGTCTAGCCTTTGGAAAAAATGAAACATTTACCGAGCAAATCGACATATAAATAAGTAACTATTAGTGTATTTTTTTATCCCTAATGCCACAGATGCATATACTAACTCAGACAAAAAATACAAAAATTTGACCTGTCGACCAACATAACAGCAACGAGCCTAATACGAATAAAACGTCGTTGTCCATCTAGAAATGCTGGTTTTTTTTTTTAAACTAATATCATATTTGAATTCTTTTTAAAATTGATTTCCTGGAGGAAAGGTGAATTTCATTTGAAGTAATCGAGTAAACATGAAATTAAAATCCCCCTGTCAGTAGTTATAAAATACTCATCTTTAGATAAAAAATATGAATAAAGATTATTAGTTACTAGAATATGTTATGTACTGTATTAGGAATTTAAAGCAGTCACATAGTATAATTGGAACTTGAAGTTGTCAAATACTCTATTAGAAATGTGACGTAATCAAATACTCATGTAAAAATTTGATGCTGGCGGATAATCCATTAAGAACTTGAAGTTGTTGAATACATTTGGTTGTCAGTTGCTCTATTCAACAAGTTATATAATGACTTCATTTGTTTATAGAAATTTACTTCACACAATTTATTTTCTTTTCAATAAGCGGCCAGTGGTCGAGGGGTAAATACTACTACTTGTCATTTAAAAGTTTGATCAGATTAGTTAAAACACAGGGTGAGTTGAGTTTAACCCTGTGTGTTTATGTAGTTTTAACCTCAGATTGACTGTGGGTATAAACATTGCTTCATGTGTGCTGATGACGCATGTGTATAGTGTTGGGGAAAATAAAGAAGAAACGCATTGACGCAACTTTTACTTAAATAGTATATTTATTATGGTTTTAAAACAAAAGTATATTTCAGAAAACAGAAATATACAATAACAAATATACATGTATTAGATTTTTTACATTAGTATTAATTTTCATTTTTATCCAGTGGTTATGTTCTAGTGATAGTGGTAGTGACTTTGTCTTAATTCTTCACATTCCATATTATAATCAAACACAATGACTCAACTAAAAAAAATACTAATGTTTTTAGTTGTTTTTTTTTTAATTATAGATACATTGTATGATAAGCTTATGATATAATACAAGTCTGGAACGACATAAGAAAATCAGTAAAAACAATAACAGCTATTTTAGATTTCCAACTTTGTGGGTGGAGACAGTCGACAGATGAGTTGAACTGAAGTCACAAATTTATCTGTGAATGAAAAACTTGTGAGAATTAATCATCAATATATCTTGGTCGTATTGTAGAGGATGAATTAATACATTTATGATTTATTTCATTAAAATAAGAAATTAAAATAAAAAAAAAGTCATTTGGACTGGAATCCCCAGGGAAAAAGGAGGGTGGGCCAGCCAAGGAAAACATGGAAAAGAATGGTTGAAGAAGAGGCGAAAACAGCTGTGCTCACATGGGAGCAGCCCAAAACCGAGTCCGCTGGAAATGTGTGGTTACAGCCCTTTGCTCCCCAGGGGCCACAAAGGAATGATGATGATGATGATGATGATGATGATGATGATGATTTATTTCATTATGTTTTGTTTGACTGTTTTTTGGAATAGTGCTAATGAAAAATTGTTAAAGTCCATTGTCTAAAACGTATATTTTATGTTAGTTCGTCTCGGAAAAATAGACCGATGCTGTGTATGACATTAATATATCAAAAAGTAACAGTATGAACAAGGTGAGGTTTATATAATGTTGTTACTTGACTTAGATAGAACATAAAGTTTCCATTTCGAACAAGACGGTTGAAGTAGATATATTTATCCATCCAAGATTTACTTGTATCTTTTTGTAAATGTTTTTTTTTTTAGTTAAACATAATATAAAACAAGTTTTGGATTTGAAAAATATTCACACACACATAAATATTTTAAAATTCTTAAATAAACTAAACGTAAGGGTGGGGGTGAAATAATTGGTTCAATTTTCACCCTTAATCTGTCAAAGTATTCATGCACATAGAATAAAATAAGAAAAATTAACCCACCGTAAAATGGCAGCCTGAAGTGAAAGTGTATGAAGACGAGGTACAACAAAGAACCACAGACGATAAAACCGCCCCCTACATAGACGTACTCAATCTGTGGCTCGATGATTAAAGGGGCGAGAAACAGGTAAATGTTCATCAGTATCATCAGGACAGGCAAGAGTAGCGGGACCTGGTCAAAGAGGAGACAAATAGATAGTCTAACATTACTATCAGTATAGGCAAGAGTAGCGGGACTTGATAAATTAGGAGAGAAACGAATAATTATTCATCGCTAATCAGTACAGCCACCAGTAATGGGACTTGGTAAAAGGGGAGACAAATAGGTAGTTTCAACATTATTATCAATACAGCATGAATACTAAGACCTAGTAAAAGAAATAGGTAAGTGTTGAAAATTTTCATCAGTACAGATACGAGTAGTGGGACCTTTGTGGAAAATTAGTATTGTATTTAAACTATTTTTATAAATTATCGTATTTATGAAATATTAAAATATACCTGTTTACAATAATATTGTAAGAAAATTGACATTTGTAAATATGTTTGAAATAATGTGTTTGATTAAAAACGAATACATAATTAGGTACAGTTGATATAATCAGGTAGACAAGCTTTTGTAAGTTTCCAAGAGTAATTTTAAAAAAATATATTCTATTTTAAACATTATTTTTATAACCTAACATGTAGCACTGTTTCTACTGCATTGAAATCACTTTAGATTTGATAAGTACTTGTAATATCTTACCTTTACGGCTCTCTTGACGTGATTAAACGACCTGTATCGGAATTTGATCAAAGCCACGTAAATGGCGATTTTAAAAATAGTTCCCAGAAAACCGAGGTAGTTGATGATTGAGCCAATCTCACCAAAGGCAAGCCACAGGAGGGACATGGACAGCTGGGGAATGTAGTTTTATATATATATATATATATATATATATATATATATATATATATATATATATATATATATATATATATATATATATATATATATATATATATATATATATATATATATATATATATATATATATATATATATATATATATATATATATATATAAATTGAGAGAGAGAGAGAGACAGATAGAAACATACAGAGAAGTTACAACTAAGCCAAATTTGCAAACTGCCCTACCTAAATAGTAATTTTAAAATGCTTTCATACATTCAACATGAATGTAGAGAAACAATAATCATCAACTAGATATTACTGAATCGAACCTCAGCCCTTTATAATTGATCAATGTTCATAGGTTGACTAATTAATTTATTAAATGTGCATTGATAGCGAATCACCGATTCCGCACACCAAACTGAGTTGAGACTTAGAAATAACGTCCAACTTTATATCATTAGACTTTGTGTAAATTCAGTACAGAAAGCTTGATAGGTTACCAGCGTTGTCATGGCGCCCACCGGGGTCAGCCAATCAATTTGAATGTAACTTAGAAGATCTGGCAAGACACCATCCCTTGCTGCGACATAAGGCATTCTGGGGAAAAAGGAAACACATTTATAAGAAGGTACGGGAGAACACATCATTATTTTTATAGAAAAAAAATTTAATTGATGCAAACTAATTTGAAATATGAGTTTCTATGTTAATTAAATTTAAACAAAGATAAATGATAGTGATATAAATGTTTATATCGAACCTGCTGGCGCTCAACATACTGACGCTTGTTATCCCTAAAGTTGAAACAACTACAGCCAATGGGATAATACTAGCAGCAGGGCCTAGAGCACGCTCAGCAAAAAGCTGTAGTGGAATATATATATATATATATATATATATATATATATATATATATATATATATATATATATACATATATATATATATATATATATATATACATATATATATATATATGTATATATATGTATGTATATATATACGCGTGTGTTTGTGTATAGGAAGTTAGGAAGTATATTTGGTGGTGTTTATGTTTATTATTAATATTAGATTTAGAGTGAAAAGAGAACACAGGTAAGTGTAATAAGAAAGACAAAATAATATATAAATCGTTGGGGTTGAAGTAAGGACTGATAACTCGTAAGAAATCTACAACAGGGACGCTACTCTTAATACGCTACTCGCCTGCTTTATCTGGTTGTCGCCCTTGTGCATTTTTCCATAAACTACAAAAGGGGGATCCAAAAATGACGTCCCGCTTTTTTTATAAAACGCTTTTTACCTCCCCCCCCCCCCCCCTCCACTCCGTCACACATCGTCAAAAAAACCAGACCCCTCACCATAAAATGACGTCACATCTCAGCCTACATCCCCCTCAAAATTGCAGTTGAATTTTTTTTCAAACTAAGATATTTTCCCAAAATCTTGAATGAACTCTGTCAACAGAGTATTTTAATCAATTACAATTTCAATTTATTAAAAAAAGTTTTCTAAAACGCGAAATAACGGCTGAAATTAACGTTGCTTTTTTAAGATACGAAAGTGTGACGTCACACCATCTGAACCACTCCCATCTCCCCTCATCACTCACTCACAAAATTACGGACCCCACCCCTTCCCTACTACGAGTGTGACGTAATTTATGGACGACCCTAAACACACAGTAATGTATACAGTTGTATCCAAAAACTGACCACAGCCACGGCTCTGACGCTAACCATCTCGTCTTTGGTCATCACAGAAAGATAAGCAATGTTGGTCAGTAGATACATGATAACCACGATAAGTATTCCGAAAATCAGAGCTCGTGGAATATTTCTGGAGAAAAAAGTAGCATATATATATTATATATATATATATGTATATATATATATATATATATATGTGTGTGTGTGTGTGTGTGTGTGTGTGTATATATATATATATATATATATATATATATATATATATATATATACATATATATATATGTATATGTATTTATTTATCTATTTATTTATCTATTTATTTGTTTGTTTATACTTTATAAATAGCCGAAAAGAAAGAAAGAAAAAAATTAACGTTTTGGCTAATTAATTCGAGGTTTTATTAGCCGATACGAGCATTGCCCAACTTCGGTCTTTGATGATAACATATATATAAATATATACATATTTAAATATATATATATATATATGTGTGTGTGTTGAGTGTGTGTTTTCAAATTCAAACTACAGCACAACACAAGGTATTTAACCTTAGCCCTCTTGTTGCCTTCCAAAATACGACACATGCTTTAACTGTAACTAGACGCACTCACTTTGAAGGGTTCTTGACCTCTTCAACCACTCGGGTCAAGTCGTCCCTTGAATAATAAAAAAACAAAACAAACATCAACAACAACATAACTATCAATGTATTCTGGTTCGGAGTGCACCGGGCTCTACAAAAAATTGAATGAAACATCATGACATAGCTTAGGAAGTGTGTTTTTATATACATCAAGTCGTTTGTCTGGCCGAGTTTTTAAAGTGCTATTTTTATACGCCAGACGTAATATGACTGTATCATGATATGGGAGATAACACAGTAGTTACTTTCCTGTGTTTCGCTGTGTTGTCTTGTTCTTATTTTTTTATAAATAATTGGAATTAGTTTTAACTTACACGCTAGTTTTTACTATATTTTCGAATATAGTTTTCCCACGTTTGATATAGTTAAGGAAACGGAAGTTGGAATGATTTAATATGGTGACATACCTCTAATTTTAGTAGTGACCAAAGACAAGTTTGCAAGATACCTAAGTGGTATTTTAAGTTTTAAAATAATATCTTTTAATTAACTTTGATGATGTGATACTAAATACGATGTGCAAATCCTAAAATGTTAAAATGGAATTAAAATGGAATTTTTATATGATTATCTAGACCAAACCTGAATAGAGAAGTCATATCAAGTTAATGTTAGATTGACGTTCACAGACCATATTAGTAATTAAATTAGCCAAGCCTATTAGGCTGGACAGATGGATTGACGTGTAGTAAGACCCAATTAACCAGACCAGTCCAGCAAGCGCTGACGTCACATTGACCTACCCTCCTGCTGTGGCCCAGATGGAGCTGTAGAGAGCTAAGGCTAAAGACGCGGGCTGTCGTGAAGTTCCAGAAAAACCTGTTCCTAGTTCACTGGTGGTTCCTGGAGGATGTAGGTAGTGATGTAAGAAATCAGCCTGGGGCCGGTGGACACGTAAAAACATATTCAGAAACATATTCATGCCGTTTTCTGTAAGAAACATCAGATATCCCTTTACATCTTCCGGTTTAATTTTATAAAATAACGAGCCGACCCGCGGCGTATCAATTGCCGCTATTTAGTTGTTTTGTTTTCTACTTTTCAGTAATTCATAATTTGTGAATTCGACAGTACCAACGCTGCCACTGAAAATATTTGCTTTAAAACACTATCAGTACATCGTTAAGGACGATAACCCCCCCCCCCCTCCTTTCCCCTACCCCCCCCCCGTGAAAGTAAACTCCTTTTAGTTACCTCCCCTAAGTTTAAAATCGTTTCAAACTAAATTATCTGCCCCTAATAGCCGTCACTAAACCCGGCTCTACGATTATAAACATTTAGCGTGAACCACAGCTCACCAGACCATGTGGGGGTGGTAGGAGCGCGCTTACAGCTTGGCGTTTTCTAGGGTCTCCAAGAAGAGAATTATATATATAGATAGATAAACTTTATTTTTTTTATAAAATTATTGTATTTTATTATACCAATAATTTTTGTTGTTTTATAAATTTAAATTTATTTTTAAAATACATGCTATAAATTTAAACCATGACATAATTTTACACAAAAACCTAAATTTTTATTTTAAAAATTGCGTATCATTATCTGAAATAGCAACTGAATCGGAATACTGTTTATTAATATCTACTAGACTACATGTCAGAAAGAAGTATTACTATCAGTCATCACAAGCCGATGATGAAAACTACTAAAGCGGACATGTAAGGCAAACTGACGCTGTAAATTACATGTCTGAGGCGAAATGAAAGAATTTTTTTTAAATCCAACCTTTTTGTCCGTCTCAATTACGTGACACAGAAACTTTAAACCTATTAAATAAGTTATCTTAGATTTTAGATACTTTTGTGTTTTAATGCATAATCAGCGGCTTGTTGCGATCTTAAAAGAATTTGTTTTACAATACATGGGCTAGATCACACATTTCATTTCAATACTAGTAATTTGTAAAATAATTTTCAAAGAGTGTCTGTGATTTCAAGGGCTCCATGTATTTACTTAAACAGTTTGGGGGCTCGTAGACTTTGTTCACCTTAGTTACATGGCCATTACGCCATTGGATATAGGACTAGCTGAATCGATATACAGAAAGTGAGATAGGTCATATTTCTACTCAATACCCATCAATTACAGAAATCTCAGATGAAAATGTTTGCAGTTTTGTCTTAAGTTCATCATATTATCGATACTTACTAGATTCAATCCTCTGCGCTTTAGCCTACCTTGTGCGATGGCCACCAGACCGGCGACTATTATGACCGCTAGAGCCAGTAACTTGCAGAAGGTTGTAACAATAGAAAAGTGAGCACTGTAGCGAGTGCCGAAACAGTTAACAAGGTACAGGGTAACTGTGAGCAAAATGATTATTTCAAATGAAAATTTTAGCTGTGTAATTCAATAAAGCAGGAGTGATCTCCCCATATTTTTTAGTAAAGAAAAGTTGTTTTAAATATCAATTTCTAATAGATATTTGCCTTACTTTCAGGTTATAAGACGGCTTTAAGTAACTATTAACAGAATGTAAATGACATATGCCGCCGTCAATGAAACAGATTAACTCTGCTTCATCTGCCCCATGTGTCTTGGATACAAATGTGAAAAGATGAGTTATTGATATAAATATATATATATATATATATATATATATATATATATATATATATATATATATATATATATATATATATATATATATATATTTATATTTATATGTATAAACTCCGCAATGCCAAGGACTCACTAAGAACAGTGGCAGCAATGAGCTTCTCTAGCTGCTCTGATGATTGACAGATGGGAAGAAGAGAGACCAGGTACTTGGCGAAGGTCAGCATGTAGACCACAAACAGTCCAGGAATAATAATCAAAGTGGACTGTGAATTTCAATGGGAACAACAATTATAGGGTTCACAGTTTTCACTGCGTTGCTATAACAACAAAATTGTTTTTAGATTTGCTTTTAAACCACACAATGACCTGTATAATGCGCTAATATTATTTAAAATCAAAAGCTCCGTAGCTGAAGCTGATAATTTGTACATGGTTTTTACTGACCCTAAGGTAACCTATTGTATTTTATTGGGTTATAGGACCAAGATAGGATCCAAACTGAAGCTACAGGTAATTATATAAAACCTGGACTTTTAAACAACTAGTAAAAATCCACACCCATTGGATAGTAGCTTCTGGTAAGGTAGGCCTACTTGAGTCAATATCATAACGAGACTTTGAAATACCGATTCTTTCTATTTAATAAAAATGTTGAGTCAGTAAATCTAACATAATTGATTGGTTCTCACAAAGAGAACTGTATGTAAATCTACATCTGCAAAGAAAATATATACTGTATACGATTTCTAACTAGATTAAACAACTGTTATCAAAGTTATCTACGACTTGTCGTTTACAAAGTTTAATTAAAAAGATGCAATCATTTTTACCTGAATGATATACAGAAACGAAACAAACCTCCCAAAGCCGAGAAAGAGGTAAGTGTAAGTACCGCCAGATTTGGGTATTAGTGTACCAAGTTCAGCGTAACAAAAGGCCTCTGTGAAAAATATGAAAGCCTAATTAACGCAGGTAAACATTAGGTTTCTTTAATGATAAAATAATAATGTTTTTTTTGTTAACATAAATAAAATCAAGTACAGTTCAAATTTACGTTTCGATTGTTTCTATGTTTAAATTATATGCAGAGAGATTTTATTTCAACTTAAGTAATTAATTGCCATTTTAGAAACAAAAACGTAACCCAAAATAAATACTCAACCAAAAAGCTGTGTATTTACATTTCAAGTGGTGGCAAAGCATATTTAAAACCTTCAAGGGAGGTAACCCAGCCTTACCACCAAGGGCAATAATCCCGGCAATTACCCAGACAATCATACATAGCGCTACAGATCCACTGGCTTCAAGGACGCCCTTAGGTGAGATGAAGATTCCAGAACCTGAAGTTTTCAATTTTGTTAGTACCGTAAGGAAAAGATTTTCAGCCTATTCTACTTGTGGATTATTTTGTTTAAACAAAACTCCTTGTGTATTGTTTTTACCCAAACGTTGAGGCCGATTTAAAGGTTCTTGTCAATAATCTAGATGGGCATCTATCAATGTCTTCAAGGACCGTTTTGCCTTGTTATTAACTTCTGTAAGAAATGTGAGTTTTGAGTGTTTGATCTTTTTGGTAACTAGATCTATCTACGTTCCTACTACGTATATTTTTTTTTGTATGGTGTATCTTTACAAAATAGATGTGTGTTGAAACTTATTAAAATTGTATCAGGCTTAAAATATGCTGCAGGTGTAGAAGGAAACTAGTCTATTGTTTGAGGTCAGTGTGGTCAGGTAGATAAAACTCATGACTGCTACACAGAAGTCCTGAGTTCAAGACGACGCTCAATAGCTGGAGACAGCAACGGTTTTCTATAAGAGAAAACCCCCAATCAAATACATTCTGCATTTGGTTTATTATTGGTTGGACGGAGTTTATGGAAGCAAATCCTAAATAAGCGTATGCTGGAATCAGAGTCAAAGGCCAATGTAGCGATTAATATGTTGACAGGTATTTAAGAGCGAAGAAGAAGTATATTGTTGTTCTTTATCAATCTCTTAGTGTAATAAAGCTTTAACTAAAAATGTCATGGAGATGACATAATGCATTGGATGTCAAATGTACCTGCAATTACTATGTGTGTGATTAATGTCACCTATAAATGATGCTGTGGGTTTTAAATTTCATGAACCTACTCCTGACGATGTTAATGTCAAAATGGCATTTAACAACCAATTATGCTTTGTATGACAAATTAATCTACAATTACATGAACCTACCAATGTTACTGTGGATGATAAATGACATGAACATACCATTGATAATGTGGATGACAAATGACATGAACCTACCAATGATACTTTGGATGACAAATGACATGAACCTACCAATGATACTGTGGATGACAAATGATATGAACCTACCAATGATACTTTGGATGACAAATGACATGAACCTACCAATGATACTTTGGATGACAAATGACATAAACATACCATTGATACTTTGGATGACAAATGACATGAACCTACCAATGAAACTGTGAATGACAAATGTCATGAACCTACCAATGATACTTTGGATGACAAATGACATGAACCTACCAATGATACTTTGGATGACAAATGACATGAACCTACCAATGATTCTGTGGATGACAAATGACATGAACCTACCAATGATACTGTGGATGACAAATTACATGAACCTACCAATGATACTGCCGATTACGATGGACGTTGCTCCTAGAAATCCTAGTTCCCTTTTTAACTCGACTTTTTCATTTCCCGCTGTTTTGTCTTTCATTTTCTACACACTGTGAATTTTTAAGACTGTTCTTAAATGAATGCGGCAACATAAGAGTATGTAAATACATAGTTGAGAAATGTGATTTGCAGAGGCAAAACTACCCGATTCGTCGCCGGTTCGAACTATCAATTTTGTACCCCCCCCCCCCATATTTTGTTTATAATTATTCACGTTTGTAACCCCCCCCCCCCCCCCCACCATCAATCAAATGTTAATGGTCTTTTTTTCGTTTCACACAAGTAATGAAAAAATTCCGTCCTTAGAGCTTAGTAGCTTTCTATTTTCTTAGGTTCGACTGACATGGAGCTCAAAATAAGCTTTTTATTTTATTTTTCTACCTAATGTGTCGTCCTTCTAAAAAAAGCACATGGAGCGGCTGCCCCATCAGCTATCCCGTAACTACGCCTCTTGCGATTTGCTTACTTATTTCCGAGGCTTAGCAAGTGGGGGGTGGAGTACATACGTCCCCGGGCGCCGACCCTAAGGGGTGCCAAAATGGGTTGAAAAATATTAAAAGCTCATTATTTTAGCTGCAGTTTTGCATTATAAATATAAATAAATATCTCGTGGGGGGGGGGGGGACGCCAAATTAAAAGTTTGTTTACGGGGGGGGGGGGGGGACGTCAAATTGAAAGTTTGTCCCCGGGCGCCGGGATGGTTCGCTACGCCTCTGACTTATTTAATATACCTCGCAGAAAATAACACACGAAACCGCTGCGACCGTACCTCCCCCTTCACTCAACTCCATTCCAACCCATGTTCCCACATCACGCCGACAAACTCTTCCCCCCCCCCCCCCCCACACCCATCTCAACCCTCTCCTATACAACGTTGTTAAAATACAAGTTCATAAAGCTTGAAATTATTAGTATTCGCCCCTTTTCACCCAGGCACTCTATCCCGAAACAAAACCTTAACCTTATTTGCCACAACCTGTCTAATTCCATTGTTTCTGGTAAGCTTCCTTTTAGGGGTGGGGGGTCAGGGGGGGTCTACGTAGCACATAATTAAACGGCTTTCATTGTTTTAAAAAAAAATTAAATCAACAATAACTTAATACCATAGTATCAAATATAATAGTCGTTACGACGTGTTGTAATCAGTCCTAAACTGTTAATGTTTATAATGGTTTAATTACAATGCAGACACTAAATTTAGCTGTATATGTGTGTGACCGAAAATAGAACCAATGCTAGACCCACTAGACATGCAAACGATTGCATTACGACTCTGATGTCAAGTGCAGCATTTTTTATTATCTTCGTTAACTTATGAGTGAGAAAAATAGGAGTAAGGGTTGTTATATTGAATACATTAGCATAAAAAAGTATAAAAGGAAATAAGCAAGTTACGCAGTTAATTAAACGATTGAAGTTAATAGAATCTGAATATAGGCGCCGTGACTAGGTAACTGGCCACCCCGGTCAGTTATTGAAAATAATTATTAAAACTTTTTTTCTTCTGTAAATTTGAAGTTGGTGTCATATCCGCTAAATGCTGTCACCCCGTGCGATCCGCATCCCCCCCCCCCCCCAGTTCCAGCCTCGCGACGCCTCTGTGTGAGTGTATATATATATATATATATATATATATATATATATATATATATATATATATATATATATATATATATATATATATATATATTCATTTATGTTTTTAAGTAACACAATTTTTAATATAAGTGAGGCTAATAGCAGTGCTCATCTCGGCCTTGTAAGCTGACTAATGCTAAGGTCAAAGCGGTTTAATGCTCGCCTATCACAACAGAGACACACTCGAGTCAACACTAGGCTAGCTGACACAAAACAGCTGAGCCAGCGTTTTGTCGTCTTATCGGGCATGTCATAACGACCTCACTGCAAGCACTGGCCAGAATGTCGGTCAGTATACAGGGACCATGTCTGACGTCAGTCACGTGATATTTAGAGCTCGGATATTGTTCCTCTCATCATGCACTTGAACACATCTAAATGTCAGGTCAAATGAAAAAACTAAACTTTTTTAAAAATTAAAACTTGTGATACACGAAGTACAGGCGTATAGGTTAGAGGTCTTTAAGTAATGTGGTGTGTGTGGGGGAGGGGGATGTGAAATAGTTTTAACTTCTTCGAATATTTTAGTTTTAACTTTTTCTGAATATAGAGATAATATTTTAATCGTGCAAAATATACGAATGAGAGATTTTATAAATTTCGGCTGTTTACACCTCCCTACTCTATAGCATACAGATTATAAACGGTGCTTTGTGTTATGCATTTAAATTAATTAAAGTTTTTAATGTAACATTTTCTAACTAGAATTTTATTATCTGTGTAAACATTTTAAGTATAATGCATTCATTATACTATTGCAGTTAACTCCCTTTTATTAAGAAATGTAATTTAGTTTTACTACAGGTCGTAAACTGCGGCAATAGACTTGTTCTGTAGTCATCAGAACCGATTATTAATTTTAGTTGCCGGCCGTAAACCCTTGCCAGTGTATAGTGGTTATCGGGCATGGCTATAATAATCTCTATATATAATTCTCTTCATGGGGACCATGCGAGACACCACCTCGTTACTCCCCCGCTCTCTAGACATATCGCTACCACCCTCATCCCCACCTGTCAGGTGAGCTGTGGTTCACGCTAAATGTTTACAATAGAAGAGCCGGTTCGAATTAGTGACGGCTATTAGGGGCAGATAATTTAGTATTTAAACGATTTGAAACAATGGGGAGGTAATAATTTCTGCTTGATATTTTCATGGTCTTCTGTAAACGGTCGTCACGGATGGCTGGTTTCATGGGGAGGGGGGGGGGAGAATCGAATTAGCCAATTGTGAATAATGAAAAGTAGAAAATAAAACAATTAGATTTTCTTTATCGGCACCCCTTTTCTATTTGAAGAAGAGCAATAAGTCTTGGAAGTGATTTAAAGGTTTTCCTAATTTTTATTATACCACAACTTACGTAGTTTAATTCTCTACACAACAGTACGTGTTAGTTACTGTAGAACAATTACTGCTGCAATTGATTTGTTTTTTCACTAGTCAATCAAGGAGCAAATTTATTTTCCTTCGGATTTTACATAACCCCCACCCCCTGCGGGTCTGGCGGTAATCGTATAGTTCCGCCCCTGTAATTAATTTTTACTTTGAAAAACTGCGCTTTCACAAGCCTCTGACACTGTAAGTGTTAATAGTAAACTCAAGGAAACAACACCATTTGGTACATAATCTTCTAATTTTGGTTTTACTTTATAAAGGAGCATATCTGATGGCGTCATCTGCTTAGGAAACTATTACTTGAAACTCATTCCTTGCATATATCGTTAGCATCAATAACGTTATTAGCGTTATGCGTCAACGACGTTTCTTAATGTTTGCAGTCAGTAAGTATATCCACATATGTCTTTTAATTGATATTGGGTGTAAGATAAATTAAGTCAAATAGAATATTATGTTGTTTTAATTGTTGGAACCGCTCTTCCAAAGACCCATATCTAAGATAGTGTAGTAGAATTTTACTTTGAAATTCTGTTTGTGATCTTCGTGGTGCCAGCAATTAATTTAGTTTGAAAATCTAAATCCCTTCCTATTTAACGAAATTTCTAATTCAAAGTGTGAGAAAACGAGACTTTAAAAACCTATTTAAAATATGAATTGCTTATGTTTTACAACGTCGCGTCATGCAATGGAGCGATCACTAAATCAACATTAAAATAAAATACTTAAAAAAAACTTTTTAAAAAAAAAACACGTTTTTCTTGTGGACTAAAAAGTAGAAAATAATTTTTTCTTCCGACCCTAGGGGATCTACCAATGACTGCTTGTAGATTTTGTGCTTCCTCGAGCTGTGCAGGTTCTTGGGATGACTGTTCGTACATTTGATGACAAAAACGTGGATACGTTCACCATCAAATTTCCAAAATTCGTGTGTTGTGTGCTTTTCGCTTTAATCATAAATCTGCCCGACCCACGTTTTTTTCTCCTTTTAGTCCGTTGCTACACATGAAAAACGTGGTTTTAAAAAATGGGAGCTGTCGTCGTTCAACCTTTCCTTTATTTCTTCTCGGCATATGAAGAGATAGTGTGGTCAGCACTATGCCCAGCCGCCTTTACTTTCCCTAACGTGAGTTAGGTACCCATCAGCAGTAGCGTACGCAGGGGGGGAGCAGGGGGAGCTGCCGCTCCCCCTCTGGCCATTTTCATCAAAGTGGCGCCTTTTTGGAAACTTTTTAAACTCAAACTTTTAAACAATGATATTTGTTTAAAAAATATTTTTGGTCGGCACATCTATGTAAATCACAAGATTTCTTTTCATGCAGCAATTAAGCATTATTGTACTAGTCTAGTAGTGTCTACGTTTACAACACGTATTAACAGCTGCATCAGTTTGCCATTTTAAAAATAACCATTACGATGCATTGCAATGTTTAAAAAACCTCTACGGTAGTACCACTTTGCAAGAGGGGTGTTAAGTTTAGGGCAACTGTATAATGTATTTACTTACGAATAATTGAATTAGAAAATGTTATACATTAAACTTTACACATAATTACTTTATATATACAGTTTGAATCGTGCTATTAATTTAAAAAAAATTACAATACAGAAACAAATACAACTCATGTGGCACCTTTATTTAAATTTACTTATGAGCAAACTGCGTAGAGGTGGGGACATTTTGACAAGGTCAACAACGTCATCACGATGAAGTAGTAGTATTCTTACAGTTTGGGCGATAGTGATTACGATTACAAATTATATGAAACAGTTACAACCCCCCCCCCCCTCCCCCACGGACCCTTCTGTAAAAAAATATTGTCATAATACCACTGCTACTTATTTAAATCTATTTCTGTAATATATATTTGTGTAGTATATATTTGTATAATATATACGTATGTTTAGAACAGGCATCTAAAAACTGGCGCTATGTTCACTCTGAGTTGGTTATCCCGCCCCCTCACACACACACACCTCACCACCACAATTGTGTAGAGCGACATTAATGTCACAC